TATACCAATAAGAGACTGATCAACTGAAGTCCTAAATATCAATGAGAAGATTCAAGTGAATCAAATAGTAATTGGTTTTACATCATGAACTAATGATATCAACTGATATCATTATTAGAAATAAGGAAGAGTAATGAGCAGCATTAATTCTATTTGCAAAACCTAATGGAGAGTAACGATGGTCTTCCACATGAAATAAAACTCAAAACGTTAATGTATCGCAAAAATTCCATTCCCAGGTGTAGATATGTAATACCCAATAGTTTCAAAATAGGATGTAATCTCTGCTTGGCATTTTCTTATTTTCAATGTGCTTTTGCGGTTGAATGTCCGTATTGAAAACTTTTGTTACGTAGAACAAAGAAATCGGGGTTAGCAGTGGATTAAAAAATGAACACTTCGTCATATTCGGAACTCATGAGGTAGAAATACTTAGATCCTAGTGTTGACGTTCACACAGAGACTCAAACCCAACACCTTTCTTTTTAAACCTCCAACGTAGTAACTCGGTATATAGTACATTCAGCTTTTGAGGAAAAAATTACTGAGTTTGAGTCGCGTTGTGGACGTCGACACTGAGATGGAAGTATACCCAGTCGATCAGTTCGAAACTGTGCGCGTTATGGATTCTAGTCTTAGCCACAAATCCGTCTTTTGTATAACAAGTTGTCAAAGACGGTTATATCAAGACAATTTGCACAGGATGCACATATATCAATAAAGTTTGATTAAAATTCACTAAAGATTATCAGCAACGGGATGATTCACAACCCTTTCAGTAATAATACATAAACAGAATAGTTTCTAATGTCTTGTTAAATCCATCTGTATGGGGGTGTGCATTTAGTTACACTGTCAGCAAATTATTAACTTACATGTGGGTGAAAAAATGACGATAAACTTATCGATTTGACTTTTGTTTGTAATAAAGTGAACGAACAAACATAAAATGCATCTTAACTGGTTTATTGAAAACCAGTAATTCAAGTCTAACTAAATAATGAAAATTAAATATTGTGAAATCGATATTTTGTTGCCAGCTTAAGATTTCCCCCCCCATCAGTAAATAGATCTCTACTTTTTTCGGGTTTGTAAATAAAGACATTTCCCTACCAAATGTCATTACACTGTAGACAATAGGTAGAGTTCAGTTATTTTATGAAAATGTTCTCAAATGGTTGCGTATTTATAGTCTTGTCCTGTTAGGTCCTACAGACTTTCTTAACATAATATAGGTGTATCTGTAAAAATGAGGAAGAGAAGAAGAAGAAGAAAGCGGACCATCATGGCTGGAATGGGATTGAAAGAGTTAGACATTTAAACAATAGGAGTTATAAAATTTTGACGGGGTAGATATACCAATATATGTAACGACAGCCAATCATGACTTCGTCACAGAGTTATCGCATAATATCATCTCATTGATAAAACTGTAACTCCGCCTGTAGCTCTTCTAGAGTTACTGCCGGTCCCAAGCCCGGGTAAAGGAGGAGGGTTGGGCATGGGGTTAGCGTCCCCATCCCGTAGAAAACTAACTCGCTAAAAAAACGCTTACCAGAAAAAATAATTCAAACCATTTTAACTCTGCCCTGAGAGTTAGAAGGTCTTCATTTAGAAGAATTATGACGCTTCATGGTGAAAGCCGAGTTCCTTCGGAAGCCACGAGGCCGATGCCCCTTCTAACAACCAGAGCAAAAAATTTTTATAGGTACATGGAACGTTAGAACAATGTGGGAAACCGGGAAGACCAGCCAAATAGCAACGGAAATGAGGAGATACAACTTGGCAGTACTGGGAATCAGCGAAACCCACTGGACCCAAGCTGGACAGAAAAGGCTAGCTACGGGAGAGATGCTGCTATACTCCGGTCACGAAGAGGAAAATGCTCCACACACTCAGGGAGTTGCTCTAATGCTGTCCAAAGTAGCACGAAATGCACTTGTAGGATGGGAATCCCACGGATCCAGAATCATCAAAGCATCATTCAAAACAAAGAAGGAGGGGATCTTAATGAATATTATCCAATGTTATGCACCCACCAATGATAGCAACGACGACATTAAAGATCAATTCTACGAGCGGCTGCAGTCAATCATAGAGAAATGTTCAAGAAAGGACATCACCATTCTGATGGGAGATCTAAATGCCAAGGTCGGAACAGACAACACTGGATATGAAGATATTATGGGACGACATGGACTGGGAGAAAGAAACGAAAATGGAGAAAGATTTGCAAATTTGTGTGCATTCAACAAATTAGTCATAGGAGGCACAATATTTCCACACAAACGTATACACAAGGCTACATGGATCTCACCGGGCCACACTACAGAGAACCAGATAGACCATATTTGCATCAACAAAAAATTCCGAAGGACAATGGAAGATGTGAGAACCAGGAGAGGAGCTGACGTAGCTTCAGATCACCACCTAGTTGTAGCCAATTTAAAACTGAAGCTAAAAAAGAACTGGACAAGTGGACAAACAGTACTACAAAGGTTCAATACAGCCTTCCTTCGAGATACTGACAAACTCAATGAATTCAAGATAGCTCTCAACAACAGGTTCCAAGCCTTTCAAGATCTACTGAAGGAAGAAGAAACTACCATGGAGGACAACTGGAAAGGCATCAAAGAAACATTGACTTCAACGTGTCAAGAGGTTCTGGGCCTAAAGAAATACCATCATAAGGAATGGATCTCTATAGAAACACTGGACAAGATCAAAGAAAGGAAGAACAAGAAGACAGCAATTAACAACAGCCGAACACGAGCAGAGAAAGTCCAAGCACAAGCTGAATACATAGAAGCAAACAAGCAAGTGAAGAGGAGCATTAGAGCCGACAGGAAGAAATACGTGGAAGAATTAGCAACGACGGCAGAAAAAGCTGCTAGAGAAGGAAATATGAAACAGCTTTACGATACAACGAAGAAACTATCAGGGAAATACAGTAAACCAGAGAGGCCGGTCAAAGACAAAGAAGGCAAGCCAATCACTGAAATTCAACAACAGCGAAACAGATGGGTAGAATACTTCGAGGAACTCCTGAATAGGCCGGCTCCAATGAATCCACCGAACATCGAAGCAGCACACACAGATCTTCCTATAGATGTCAACCCACCAACGACGGAAGAAATTAGAATGGCCGTCAGACAAATCAAGAACGGGAAAGCAGCAGGACCCGACAACATACCAGCTGAAGCACTGAAATCAGACGTCGAAGTAACCACAAGCATGCTTTACCCTCTATTCAAAAAGATTTGGGAGGAGGAACAAGTGCCAATGGACTGGAAAGAAGGACACCTCATCAAGATTCCAAAGAAAGGAGATCTGAGCAAATGTGAAAACTACAGAGGCATCACACTACTGTCAATACCAGGGAAAGTCTTCAACAGAGTGTTGCTGAACTGGATGAAGGATGCAATAGATGCCCAACTTCGAGATCAACAAGCTGGATTCCGAAAGGATCGGTCGTGCACAGACCAAATTGCAACACTACGGATCATCGTCGAACAATCAGTTGAGTGGAACTCGTCACTATACATCAACTTCATTGATTATGAAAAGGCATTCGACAGTGTAGATAGGAGGACATTATGGAAACTTCTTCGACATTACGGAGTTCCTGAGAAGATTGTCAATATTATCCGGAACTCATACGACGGACTACAGTGCAAAGTAGTGCATGGAGGACAGCTGACAGATGCATTCCAAGTAAGGACCGGAGTCAGACAAGGCTGTTTACTCTCTCCCTTTCTCTTTCTTCTGGTGGTCGACTGGATTATGAAGACCTCGACATCTGAAGGAAAACACGGAATACAATGGACAGCTCAGAACCAATTAGACGATCTGGACTTCGCAGATGACCTAGCCCTCCTATCACGTACACACGAACAGATGCAGATGAAGACAGCCAGTGTAGCAGCAGTCTCTGCATCAGTAGGCCTCAGCATACACAAAGGGAAAACGAAGGTCCTCAAATTCAAAGCGGAGAACAGCAATCCAATCACTCTTGATGGCGAAACTCTGGAAGATGTAGAATCCTTCACATATCTGGGAAGCATCGTCGATAGACATGGAGGTTCAGATGCAGACGTAAAGGCGAGGATTGGCAAAGCAAGGGCCGCATTCCTACAATTGAAGAACATATGGAACTCAAAACAACTTTCAACCAATATCAAAGTGAGAATCTTCAATACGAACGTCAAGGCAATTCTACTGTATGGAGCTGAAACTTGGAGAACTACAACAACCACAATCAAGAAAGTACAAGTATTTATAAATAGCTGTCTACGCAAGATACTCAACATCCATTGGCCGGATACCATCAGCAATAGCCTTCTGTGGGAGAGAACAAACCAACTTCCAGCTGAAGAGGAAATTAGGAAAAGACGATGGAAATGGATAGGACATACATTACGCAAATCGTCAAACTGCATCACTAGGCAAGCTCTAACTTGGAATCCTGAAGGGAAGCGGAAAAGAGGAAGGCCAAAGAACACATTACGTCGGATAATAGAAGCAGATATGAAAAGGATGAATTACAACTGGAAGGAGCTGGAAAGGATTGCCCAGGACAGGGTTGGATGGAGAATGCTGGTGAGCGACCTATGCTCCTTCACGAGGAGTAACAGGTGTAAGTAAGTAAGTAAGTAAGATAAAACTGTGAATTCGCTAATAATGATTTTGTAGGTGATGATAAATATCCTATAATGGTCAAGATTTGAAACTTAAATGGATGATTTGGGTGGAATTTCATACTCTCAGCTCAGTGGTTTACCCTTGAAGCTTTGATTATTCTCCATCGTAAGCACGAACATCATGCTGAAGTGGGTTATTCGCATTTCTACAAGTATGACTGACAGCTTGTCCTGTAGATCATGATGCTGATTGATTAATGATTACATGTTATCCAAAAGGACAATGAAGGATACACGATTAAATTATTCAGTTTGGATTACGAAACTTCATCAAAAGCAAGAAAGACGAAATAAACTTACATGAGCTAATTGTAAATTATCACGATCTGGTAACATATTGATAAGTTTTACAGGGGGTTCCTCGGTTGACTCTAGGAATGACAGTAAACCTAATGGCTGGAATTAAAAAGAAAGAAATTGTATCAAACTACTTGAGAAGTGTACGTAAGTCGTTTGTAAAACAATAGACTAAGTGTAGTATTGTAGTTTGATCACACTGACGCTTAATACGACATTGGGTTACACATAGACTATGATTTTGATGCAAGTGATAAATAAAAGGAGAAAGAGCGATCAATTTATAAACTGGGTTCCATGCTAGTTGGGAGTAATCAGCGATCATAGGAAAGCTGATTCTCCTACGTGGATTCAAATTTGATTCACTTAGTCTCAATGATCAATAAGTGTGAATAATTATTCTATAGGAAGTCAGTCAACTGCAGATTGAGTGGCTCAGTGATAGCAACTCAGACTTTGCAGCTGGTTGATGCAGGTTTAAAACTATCAGAGAGCATTAGTATCCATAAGAATGTAGTTACTCTTTGCTGATGAGTGCGAAATGCCCCGAAACATGAGCCCAATGTTTCGTGTCAGTCATTTCCAACCGTCTAAAAACAAGAAACTGTCCACTCAATGTGAATTCACTAACATTGGTGACCACAATTTCAATTGACCAATCAACATTAAGATGCAGGAAAAAAGGGCATTGGTCACAACTCAGTGATTAATCCATGTAAACACATAAGGCAAAATGATTATCTCAAATTTGCTAACAACCTTTCAAAAATGCATTTGTTATTATAAAACGGAATGCATATTATGTCGATAGGATACTGATCTTAATAGATATTAAAATACAGTGATTGATGATCGTTAGTTGGGAAGTAATCATGAGAATTCGCCCCCGAATGCCTTTGTACAGTCGAAGGTGGGGAGAGTCAACCCTCCTTCTCCAAATGCTCTCACATGACCACGCAGATGCAGTCATTGCCAGGGAAGTCCTACTCACTGCCTTCTCAGGGCGGGGGTAATTGTTTATGAAATTGAGGAAACGAAAAGCGAATATCCAGTGCATTACCCGGGTTGGTGGACACCAAGAGTCCACCTAGGGGAGTTGGAAAACCTTGATTTCAAACCTATGGTGCACATGGCCTTCAGGATGCTGAAGGAACAAATTGCGTATGGACCTATTGTTGGCTACCGGTTACCATGGAACTGAATCTCCAAACGTTGCCTCACTGTCTTGTGGATTAGACCTCTAGGTCAAAGGCTCGGAAGATGATCCCCTAAGTAAACCACCTGTTTCGGTTCGAGCCTCACACAAATCGACTGACGAAATGTGGCACATATACATTTGGTGCTTCAATGTACTAAATTTTATGTATTTAAAATAAAATAAACAGAATTCGCTCGCATACGCGATAGCATCAACAAATAGGTAACGTTGATAGTGAGGTTTACAGATTGTTTTCTTTCAACAAAACAAAGATTAAAGCAATCTATGAAATGATGAGTTTGCATATGAATGATAACACATATTACATAATTCTAATATCAGATAAGTGTTGGGATGATTCAGAAAACTTGTCGCAAAAGACAAGAAAGGCTCAGGGAAGCACTAAGAAGCATTTTATCCAATCAGCGTTCACTTGTAGTTTAGCTAAAAACATCAAGAAAGTGAAAAGTCACATGTAGAGTTTCTGATTGACTGTTACTAGATTTAGTAGCGTTCCAAAATCTTCGGGAAACCCAAGGACATCTAAAATACTATAGAAACTCTATATTTTCTATACTAGGACGAACCTTTGGAGTAAACTACTTCTCACATATTTTGCGCCTTTTCTCTCGTGTTCAGGTCGCTGTGTAGTTCTAGCTTGGGAATTACGAGAACAGCTTAGGAACCGAATATAGCGTTCAATTAGTAAGACTTATCAATAAGTGATCTCGATTGATGTTAAATGAAATTAGACAAAACCAAAGTATGATTAAACAAAGTCATAATATTTAAGTCAAATTCAATATGAAGTAGGGGTAACATCTATTTTTGTCCCTAGTCTGTTCAACAGACCATAAGCTTTCGTTTGATGTATGATTCACTGAAATAGCCTTTCCTTTTCCAAAGCTATTGTAATTTGAAAGTAATCTTTTGTATTCTATTTTCCTACCGCAATGTCCGGTTAAGACATAATTGTATTTTCCTTACTGTTTGTACATTATGGTCATGTTAGTCATCTATGTTATCCATGGATCTTTTTGCGCTAATCTGAATGGGAATTAGGAACCGAGAACAAATCGAGTAGTGTTTCAGTCGACTCGTCTTTTCTCTCTCTCTCTCTCTCGCTTTCACTTGTAAACCAATCAGGTGATATAATAGTTTTCGTCTTTCTACTCAAGGCAGTTAGTCTCCATTCGGAATCAGGCATTTCTAGTCTTAATGTGAAAACAGTTAGCCTATCGTATCAAGGCCTTAATCTAAACCGAGACAAATTCTCTCTTGTATACTATTGGGTAGACAGGTCAAAGACGTAACATTTTCTGTTTATGTATTGTTCTAATCACATATTGAGAATAAGAGATAATTATTAACAATAAAGTCAATTATGAATAGTTTACTGATAAGAACTAGCAATTGAACACAAAGACCCTATTCAATGTTGTCAGATTTTCTTCAAGTTAATCCTTCTCTAGACTTTTTCTTCAAACTGCATCACGAGGCAAGACCCAACTTCGAATCCTGAAGGGAAGTTGGAAAGATGAAGGTCAAAGAACACATTACGTCGGGAAATAGAAGCAGATATGAAAAGTATGAATAACAACTGGAAGGAGCTAGAAAGGATTTCCCAGGACAGGGTTGGATGGAGAATGCTAGTGAGCGGCCTATGCTCCCTCACGAGGAATAACAGGCGTAAGTAAGTAAGACTTTTTCTTCATAGTTAGCTTGAACATAATTTCAAACGAAATTACATAAATGCATGTAAATAATTATAATCACAACGTGTAATAAAACATAATCACTTACAAGCATTCTTTTAAATAAATCCCATGCATCTTGATTATTGTCAGACCATAATGCAACTAATTGACGACTAAGCTGTCTTGTTCACCACCCATCCAACCCAATCGAATACAATGAAGTGACATATCAAGATAAAAAGAAAAGAGAATTGAAAAGAAAACCAAAACTTTTATCAGTAGTAATCAGTAATATCAGTCATGTTGATAAATTAAAGACATACAGTAAATGGTCAAATGTCAGAAAACGTTATATCAGATATGATTGTTTAGTTAGTTAAGCCTCAAAATAGTATATTGGAGGGGAAAAGTCTTTAAATTGTTTGTTGTTGAAATTTAAGACTGTAATTGATACATCTTTGTTATGATATGTTCCCCTCCTTAGCAGATTAATTTGACATACGTTTTAATGTATTTTCATTGTGAATAGGAATGGAATCGAAAGATGAACATTTCGAACTGCTTGAAACTTATCACCTATTATTCATACATATTATCAAGTGTTGATGTTTACACTGTAACTGTGCTTGTGATTTAGTATCTTTCACTTAAACGTCAATACGTTTGGCTATCTGAACTCAGTAGCTCAGTGCATAGTGAGTTGTTGTTTGAAATGGAAGATATCAGGTTCGAGTCCCGACGAGAAAATGCACATTAAGATCCGCACTTATTGGTTGCTTAGAACATTCTACTTATATTTAAGACTGTAATTGACCAAATTCTTCTGACATACATGCATCATGTGTGAATGACCTCAATATCGAATGGAAAGATACCGTCCTTGAAGCAAATTTAATCATGATTAGACGTTACATGCAAACACACATAACCGTCTTATTCAATTGTGGGTTAACAACTATATGAGATAATTTTCTTATCGTACAATAAAACTACCTCAGCTGGAGAAAACGCAAACTATAATTGGACGAACAATTAGCTAGCATTTATTCACACCTAAAATGTATACAACAGTCAAACGACAGTTATCGAAATCCTGACGAAATGTAGAAAATTTACTAATATGTTTATGAGACGAAACGGCCGTCCAGTGTTTCCAGGTTTTCCATGGTGGTCTAGGTTCAATTGACTCATGATTTCAATCTGTGAAATTTCTAACATCTCCACAAACCTCTTGTGATAATATGTGTATCTTCTGTAAAAGTTTATAGAATACCATATTGCTTAGGGATAAAGAAACTCTGTTTTGAATCCTGGCGTGAAAATAGTCTTCATCGTCAAACTATAATTTGCATAAAACCTAGACGAATCTATTTATATAATACTATCCACAAAACATTGAACTACTCAGTGGTAAAGTAGCTGCTGACTGCAAACGCCTTTCTCACAGATTAGGATTTCTCTAACAATCACATAAATTTCAGCATGAATAGTATTATAATGTAACCGTGTTGGGTAGCATTTTGTTTGAGTAATCCTACACTGAACTTGATATTAGTCAACAACAAAGACGTGTTGTCTAAATGCTTGTTTAAACTAAAACAAACTGTCAAATACTAAGACAAGGTTATACAGAATCATCAGAAGATCGATAGGGAACAGGAAGCGATAAAAAGTCATAGATAACTTTGTACCACTGTACCAGTTGGGGTCCGCACAACTATCGTAACAAATGGTTAGAGACTCTGGGTGACATGGATCAGAATCGATCACATTGGCGTCAGTGTATACACTTTTTGTCTTTCCTTAAACCGTGAGATTAAAATCGCTTTATACCTTTATTTCTACCAACTAATCCTTTCTTCCTGTATTAAATATATCCTTATACATAATCTTTCTTTTACATATTACTACCATTGAAGTAGCTATTTCTATGAATTTGGTATTCATCTTGTTATGCTATTGAGGAGTGTGTGCTGAGCCATGTTGGTAGGTGAAGACTACCTGGTTGGAGACCGCGAGATGATAGCAACAAATGGTTAGAGACCCTGAATGACATGGCTCAAAATCGTTTGCAATGGCGCAGCTGCATCCACTCTTTGTGTTCTCCCAATTTCTAATCTTCTGAATTCTTCATGTCCCTTTACATGTTCTCTTTCCAAATCTATTTCAATGGATTATACTCCTTGAATAACATCTCCAAACCCTAATTTTTCGAATTACAGCTTATACTCTTACTAACTCTACCACTACGGGATGTGAATGGACAACTGTATCTATGTGCTAATGTGGTGTGGTAACTCGAACTGATGTACGTGCGTACGAAGTTCTACATTGTTACTGACTGACTGACTGACTGAGGTGTGATAACTTGAGTTGACGCATACATGTGCCTGGTCTTATGTTGTAACAGACTGACTGACCAATATACCAATTACATACAGCCTGTGTAATGAATCTTCTATAATATTTTCAACAATCCGGTGTATAATTTGAAGCGATGGTTTGTTAAATTAGCAACTCAACTTTGAATAATGAAGACATTGGTTAAAACCAAAAAGTATCATGTTATTTATATAGTAAACATTACGAAAAATCGTGTGATTAAAGGCTAAAATAACACAAATTTACTAAGTTGCATTACATATAATTTAAATATTGTCAGTAACATTCTCTACAGATTACGATCATAACCCAATGAGAATTGAAAAGCTGTTTCGTCCTAGCTAGGAACTCTTCAGTATAAAGCACTCACAATCTCACAATAAAAAAAAACAGACTTAGAATGTTCAGGTCTTCAAAACCATACACTAATGAATACTAGTTGTTAAACAAATTATTGAACTTATTAGACAAGTAAGTTATAATTTAGTAAATTTTGTATAATTCAATGATAATGCCAATAATCATGTAGAAGAAAAAAATATAATGACCAATATATTCTTAACAAATTTAGAATAATCGATAAATTATGTGATATGTTATCAGTTTAGGGGTTGTGGAGATTGTTAAGTTTTTGATTGAAATCATGAGTCAATTGAAGCTAGACCACTATGGAAGGCCTGAAAGCACTGGACGGTCGTTTCGTCCTAGTATGGGACTCCTCAGCGGTGCGCATCCACGATCCCGCACCCTGCGAGATTCGAACCCAGAACCTATCAGTCTCGCGACAGGCGCTTAACCAACTAGACCACTGAGCCGGCTCAGTGGTCTAACTTCAATTGACTTATGTAATATGTGTTGACAATTTGATATTGGCATTCGAAAACATACACATTCATAGTATATATTTAATGAGAACATATTTATGTATGATTGTTATCATTACAGTGATGATAGGTAATCTAATACTCTAATCTAATCTCTATCACGTTTAATAAATCATTACATTATTATGTAAGGAGAGTTGTAAAAAATTAATGAGCTAATCTATTGACAAATTGTTAATTATAGTTACAAAGATTAGTGACAATTACCAAAATTTATCAGTGAATAAATGAAAAACACAGGCTAATTAGTAGTCAGTCTGTCAGTCAATCAATCAGTAATCAGTCGCAACGTATAACCTGGAGCGTGTATACATCATTTCAAGTTGAAATACACCATTAACATAACGAGATAAAAATGTCAGACAAAACAACACAATATTTTAGATAGTAACAGCATGAGTGGTAATACTAACATACGATTCACGAAAATATTAATTAGTCAAATGAAAGGAATGATGAGGAATTCAGTGTTTCAAAAATTGGGGACGACAGAGAACTGATACACTCACACCATTACAAACGATTTCAACGCACACCATTCAACCTCTCTAAACATTGGTTACGATAATCATGTGAACTACAACAAGATAGTTTATATTTGATAACATGACTCAGTTCGTTTGTCAGGGACTTTATGGACTGGTGTCGTATTTTGTTTTGACCTCCTCCTCCAGTTTTCTTCCACCATACTCTTACCACTAGACAAAATCGAACGTCGAAGTAGGTGGTGGTTTGCCATCCTTTTGAATCTGGGTTGATATTTCATCAGACACTAGACCGTCAGGATTGATGAGACTCACAAGATCAGTGAACAGATCGACACACTCAACTACTACATTCCCTATCATTAATCCACACGCTGACGCAAACCAATTAATACTGTAGCTAGATTTTACATTTGGAGGGAGAGAATCACATCCCAAACATGCTCGCATTGTTGCTTAAGGTGGACAGAATGCTCTACATTTTGTCAGCGACTTCACTAACCACAACTACATTATCTGCGTATTCCAAGTCAACAAGTGGATCTTGTGTTGGGAGAACAACCTCTCAAATGTCAGATCATAGTAGTGTTAACTCTAGAGATATATTTTATGTCAATGTTAAATAATAATGTGTAAAGTGGACAGTTCTGACGAACACCACTTGAAGAGATGAACTCGGATGAGTTTTGACTAGACCAGTAGTGTTGAAGTAGAGAACCGGAACAAGTTTAATATAATTTTTGGTAGACCTTTCAATAAAAGACATTAACACAGAACTTTAGGACCAACGAAGTTCAGTGCTATCAAGGAATACAACTAATGTCGAACGTTGAAAAGTAATTTGTATTTTTCATAACATGACGAAGAGTGAATATTTGTTCTGTACATTCATTTCTACGTCTAAAACCAGCCTGGACTTCTCGAAGATCGCTTTTCACGAGCTTTAGTTAGACGTCGAAGTATTATTCAAGCTAAGTATGATTTTATGGTACTTGGGTTTAAGGGTGACATCGTTTTATGAAAGTTGCTGATATTAGCAAGCTTTCTATTATCAAATGGAGTGGCATTCGAAAAGTGAAACCTAAGTTTTATAAAAACTATTAAGTCAATCTTCAAATATGCGCAAATTGATACTCTCCGTTAGATGTAAACCAGTTCAACACGATGATCTGATTGTTGAAGAAGTTACCACTCAGCTATTGACCTTTTTGAACGACCGAAGTTATTTACATTGATTGATCGCTATGTATTAGACAATGACACCGGTTACGTTGAAAGATGGATGGCTACTGAGTCTAAGTGACTCAACGTTTCGTAAACTATAATTTGATGTTAAATGCCTTGAATTATTCATTAGGGAGATTTAGATAGAGGTTTTATGCGAATTATCACACAATGTTAACAAATCGTGACATTAAAAGTAAAGGATAAGTTATATGGAATCAGAAAAGAATATGTGTGAGTGAATGATAAGAGATGACATAGGTTATTGGAAACACTGGCAATAGACATTTTTCCTCAGGTATTCAACACTTAGAAATTTAGAAACAGGGATAGAGATTATACTGATTGGTTCGATGTAAGATTACGACTATACTAATATTGTAGTATTATGATTTCAAACAGTTATCAGTCACGAATTAATATGTTCTTACTGACTATCATTCGTAAGCGTAAAACAAATGTGACGAAAATGCATTAGGCGGCTAAGAAGTCAGGAGCAAACGCTGGATCTAGGTTTCGTATTAGTAAGGCCTATCTGTAATTAATATTAACATCTTACTCGTATCATAGATTAATTACGATCAAAATGAATCAATAGTAATATCTGATTGAGGTGTTCCAATCTCAAAAAGAGTATATATTCCCTCAACGTTATAGGTGCGTCTTGATGACGAGTGCCAACTACAGTTTGCTGACGAACACCTTCAACCAACTAACATTAAAATAAAGTGTATATGATGTTTAGTCACTGAAACTAGTAGCTAGAAAGTACATTAATCGATCAGAACCAAGAATCAGACACACATGAACATTAGTTACTCATCAGTGATAAGTTAAGATTAATTGAATGTTAATATGTTCTTATTATCTTATCTACTTGATAAGGAGTGTAATTATTCAATAGAAAGATTGGAAATCTAATTAAAAAGCATAGATCAAATAAAAACTTACTGCACAGCTAAACTTCGTGGATCATTTCCTTGAGTAAAACAAGCAGTCCAAAAATGATGTAACAGTGCACCTTCAGTTAAAGCTAAACTACGTAATTCTTTAGCAACATCTGTTCCACCTTCTTCAATCAATGCACGCATTATCATACCTCCACCACGAACAATAGCTAAGCTTGGATGCTACAATAAAAATTAAATATTGCACGAAACATACATATACAGGGAAATATGGGTTAGTAACTATGATGATAAATTGTATGTTATTTTAAGAATGCACAGTAAGTGAGAGCTGTTGACGTACACTGCCAGCCAACATCAAAGTCAGAATCCTCAATACGAAAGTCAACAAAATACGTTCTACTGTACGGGGCTGAAACTTGGAGACCTACCACAACCATCACCAAAAACTACGAGTATTTATAAACAATTGTCTACCATCAGCAACAGCCTACTATGAGAAAGAACAAACCAGGTTTCAGCTGAGGGGGAAATTAGGAAAAGGCGCTAGAGGTGGGTAGGACATAAATTATCGAAATCATCAGTATAAGGTTGTGAAGATTGTTGAGTTTAGATTGATATCATGAATGGGTCAATGTTTGACCACCATTGAAAACATAGAAGCATTGGAAGGTCGTTTCTTTGAAGTATGGGACTCCTCAGTAGTGCACATCCACCATCCCGCACGTGGGCAATCGAATCGAGGAAATTCGGTTTCGCGCGCAAACGCTTAACCTCCAAATCACTGAACCAACCATGATATTGCGCGATCGTCCACCACTGTCTTCAGTAAGTAATTGCTTCACAACAGACCCGGTTGAACGCCACTGGTCACGGTTTCTCACTAGAACTCCAAGAAATCCATCTTGAAGCTAGTCACTAGTGAGCACATGATGGATGCCGGTTAGGCGTTCGCGCGCAAGACTGAAGGTCCTGAGTCCTGGTCTCGCGTGCGGAGTCGTGGATGCGCACTGTTAAGGAGTCCCATATTACGGAGACAATCAAAATATGTCACGATGTAAGCCCTAACTTGGAAACGTGAAGGTGAAAGGAAAAGAGGCAAAAAAAGAACATATTGTACCGAGAATCGGAAGCAGATACCAAATGAATGAATGGTAACTGGAAAGAAGAGCCGAGAAGAAAGTTGGTTGGAGAATCCAGATCAACGACCTATGCTCCTCCACGAGGAGTAAAAGGTATAAGATATTATTATTATTATTATTATTATTATTATTATTATTATTATTATTATTATTATTATCAATATTATGATACCATTCCGATTAAAAAAAACTTACAAGATATAATCGAAACAATGCACGACCACGATTAGCTAATAAACGTAGTAAATTATCGAATAATCCACCTTCAGATGTTTCAGAATATGGTAAACAAACACCATAAGTAAAGAAGTCTAATAAAGCACAAAGAACTAGTGAACCACTTCCACGTAACTAAAAAATTCAAAGTAAAATTAAACAAAGTAAAAATCATCCAATTTATCGATGTATATGTATTGAAATGAATAGAATAAATCATAAAATCATTCAACAATTGAAATAATTCTATTTAATACACACGAAGTAAAGGAAAAGCTTTATCCCCGAGCTGTATTATATATGACCTTGGGGCCCTAGAAACTTCTAGAAAACACTCTAGATTTCGTAACAAAATCAGTAGTTGTCTGATCGAGATAATGAAAACATAGTACATAGTTTTCTAAGGTTATTATGGAGAGTTTTAAATAATGCTGATTGGCTGAAGTATTTTTAGAAATTTTTTTGCGTCTTCTCATGAAGACATTTTCGAGGAATTACGAAGCGTTTTCAACAGTTTCATATCACAATGATGTTTTAGATAGTGAATGTAGTAATTTAAAATAACATTAACTAAATTATGGTCTAGATGGAATAATCATCACAATTGTACAAATACTACGCTGTCAAGACCGAATACAGAAAAGACCAAATAAAAACTGGTCTTTCTACATGAAAACATGTAACGTTTAGACTATGTGTACGATAAGTCAGTGAACTAGTGATGAACTTTGATTGGTTAAACTCAACTAATATTGAAATTGAAAGATCTATCTTCAATCTCTAACGGATGATGACAGTGATCAGAAGTTTCTTAATACGAACAAAAAGCAGTCATTCACATTAAACCATGGTCAGTAATGGTTGTCTAACTAAAGCCATTCCATGATGTCAACTATCTTATAAAACAAACAGTCACTGCAAATACTTCAGATTCTAATGAGTGAAACTGGTTATTCAGACTATTGATCTGTAAATCAATGAAACATTAAAACAACTGTTTGTTTTAAAGTTAACAAAATGATAGGGTATTCTGTCTTTTATTAGAGGTAACAGACATTACGATGTATCTAATAATCTTTCGTCTTTTTAGATCATCTCAAAGAAAAAACATCATCATCTTGTATCAAAATGAGACTCAAGAACTAGAAGATCAAGGAAATGCATACGAGTCAAGTCGTCTAACATCTTCAACAGTTAGTCACAATGATCCTGCGGATCCTAAATGGATGATTTGCATCTACAAACATGGTTCAAACTAACAATCAATGACTTCATGAAATGATTTCATTATCGCTAACATCGAGCATCGATGTAGGCGATGGTTAAGCATATGTAATACATGTTTCGACAGCTACAGTTGATAAAGATTCACTACTATATCAACCAATTTGTCATTTTTGTCAAGTACCCTATACATACGTTTAACATTGCCCACTTGATCATAGTATGACATATGAGCAATGTTCCGAAGACATTTATGATTAGCAACGTTGAGGATCGTCTGAAATGACGCTAAACTTTTTAAACTATACCTACTAGTGAAAAAACTATGATTATAACAATATTATTTCACTGTGTTGAATAAAATAAACTGTAAAGTCTTGATCGGTTGGCGTATTTTACAATCCAACAACATTAATCTCGATTCACTTTCAGATACCAAAATATTCTAAACGGAGAAAAATAAGAACAACTTTGAAGAGACTGTAATATCATTCCAAGTAGAGCAGCTACGTAAGTCATAAGAACATTTCTCAACATACAAAGGACAAGGTTGCTTGTCAATCCTAGACAAATGACAATGATCTTGAGATAACATAGTCAATAGAATGGCACATGTAAAATGATTCCACTACACCGACAATTAAGTCCAAGTATAGATATTGCATGATAATCTTTTAAATATATACGAACATCAAAATAACTGATCCCGAATGGTTTACGAGTTTCTACAATTCCCCAACTTAGTAATAATTGATTAGCTACTAGTGAGTATAGTTTCGAGATTAATATATGAGTGCCCACTGAGATTACGTGGCCAGTTGACATTAAAAATATTACATATGATAGGCTGCATGAGTATAGATAAATTACTGGTTTAAATTTACGCATGGTTTGAAGGTACCGTATGTATACAGTAGTATGAAGAATTCCTCAGGCAGACGCAATGTCGTGCCGTATACAAGATCAGCGGCGGAACACTGGATATCGGCCTTCAAGCTCGTTCTGATGCCTGAGGGGACGAGCGGTAAGGTTTCGTACCAATTGTCGTTTTCGTGTGCTCGAAGAGCACTTTTACGTTGGCGGTGAAACCTTTCAACTAAACCATTTGAAGCTGGGTGGTAGGCGGTAGTGCGTATGCGTTCCGTACCAAGCAGCCGGGTAAGTGAGGAGAATAGTGCGAACTCGAATTGTTGTCCTCGGTCAGTCGTGACAGTTGAGGGACAACCATACAGAGCTATCCATCGTGCTACGAAGCAGTGAGCAACTGTCTCCGCCGTAATATACGTGATGGGAATAGCTTCGGACCATCTTGTAAAACGGTCGATGCACGTGAGTATGTGATCATACCCATGCGATGGTGGCAGTGGTCCTACAATGTCTAAGTGAACGTGATCGAAGCGAGCATCAGGCGTAGCGAAAGTGTCAAAGGGGGCGGCTACGTGCCTGTGCACTTTTGATCGTTGACATTGTAAGCATTGCTTCGCCCACATACGAACATCTTTATTCATGGACGGCCAGACGTATCGTGCAGAGATGAAGCGTAATGTAGCTGCGATACCTGGATGAGACAATATATGTAGGGCATCGAATACGAGACGGCGGTAAGCAGAGGGTACGATGGGTCGAGGAAGACCGGTAGAAGTATCGCATAAGATGGTGCCTGAAGTCGCGGCTAGTGGTACTTCGTGATATTGAAGCGACGTAGATTGTGGTGCTTTTGTACAACAGGGATCGTTTGCTTGGGTGGCGGCCTTAGCAAGAAGATCGAGCACCGGCAAGGTAACTGCATTCGCTTGGATACGTGACAGAGCATCGGCAACACAGTTCGACTCGCCTTTGATGTGACGAAGGTCTGTCGTGAACTGGAAGATATAGTCCAAATGTCTGCACTCTCGTGGTGAGTAGCGGTCAGACTTGCTATGCAAAGCATACGTTAAGGTCTTACAGTCGGTGAATAAGATAAATTGACGTCCTTCTACTGCGTGCCGAAAATGTTTGGTGGAGCAGTAAGGTGCTAGCAGTTCGCGACCAAAAGCTCTATATCTCGTCTCAGTGGGAGTAAGGCGTTGTGAGAAAAACTCGAGGGGTTGCCAACTACCGGAGATGTTCTGTTGCATAACGGCTCCTATAGCAAAATCAGATGCATCAACCGCTATACTAAGCGTGGCTGATGGGTCGGGATGAGCAAGAAGTGTAACTTGCACCAGAGCTGTTTTGATCTCTGTAAATGCAGTAGGCGTAGTATCGTTCATTTCTAATTTGCGTGGGTTGCCGCGAAGTAAGTCGGTTAGTGGTCGTAACCATTCTGCCGCGTGTGGGATGAAACGACGGTAGAAGTTAACCAAACCGAGAAATGCCTTCAGTTCCTTGAGTGAGGACGGCACGTTGTACTCCATTATTGCACGTACTTTATCCTCACAAGGTAAAATACCTTCTTGTTTAATGATGTGACCCAGAAAAATTATCTCCGACTTGCCTAATTCGCACTTGTCTGGGTTGACTACTATTCCATTATCTGAGAGACGTTGGAATAATAGTGTGAGATGTTGATAATGCTCATCTACGTTTGATGATGTGATTAGCAGGTCATCAATATAGCTTGTGACTTGTAGCGTGGTGTCGAGTCCCAGTCGACTACGAAAACCACTACAGAGAAACACGTGGCCGTTTATTTTATGTGCACGATTATCGCACAAACACTAGGTTCCTAGTAGACACTGCAGCCCAAGTCTCTGTCGTACCACGAGGTAGCAGCAAGTCACAAGCTACAATGCTTCGACTACGCGCTGCGGATGGCTCAGTCATTCCTACGTACGGTACACGACAACTCGCGGTCTACCTGGGCAATCGACGACGGTATCTGTGGACATTCATCATTGCTGATGTCCCCACAGCCATACTAGGTATCGATTTCCTGCAGCACTATGAATTGCTTGTCGATTCACGTAGGCTGCAGCTAATCGATACTTCGTCGAACAGTAAATTCATGGGCTGCAAAGCCCACATGAACGCGTACCGAATCCTCGGCACTTTTTACTCGCGTGACGATAAATTCCACGCTCTATTCGAGAAATTCCCCACACTAACTAAACCACTCGAGGAGTTGCCATCGGTGACCAATCGTGTGGTACACCACATAGTCACCTGCGGACTTCCAGTCACGGCACGACTTCGTCGACTGGCACCGGACAAATTAGCTTTCGCTAAACGTGAGTTTGACAATTTACTAGCTACTGGTATTATTCGTTCTTCTCACATTCCATGGACCTCTTCTCTTCATATGGTGCGCAAAAAAGATGGGGTTAGTTGGAGGCCATGCAGCGACTACCACCGAGCTTTAAACGTAGTTACGCGCTTTGATAGCTACCCCATCCCCCACATACACGACATCACGGCATCGCTCAAGGGCACGACTATCTTTTCTAAGATCGATCTGGTACGAGCATATCATCAGATCCCAGTAGCTCATGAAGATATCGAAAAAACTGCTATCACGACTCCTTTCGGTTTGTTTGAGTTCTTACGTATGCCTTTTGGATTACGGAATGCTGCTCAAACTTTTCAAAGGTTTATCTATGGCATTGTACGAGACCTAGTTTTTGTTCACCTGCTAATCACATCATCAAACGTAGATGAGCATTATCAACATCTCACACTATTATTCCAACGTTTCTCAGATAATGGAATAGTAGTCAACCCAGACAAGTGCGAATTAGGCAAGTCGGAGATAATTTTTCTGGGTCACATCATTAAACAAGAAGGTATTTTACCTTGTGAGGATAAAGTACGTGCAATAATGGAGTACAACGTGCCGTCCTCACTCAAGGAACTGAAGGCATTTCTCGGTTTGGTTAACTTCTACCGTCGTTTCATCCCACACGCGGCAGAATGGTTACGACCACTAACCGACTTACTTCGCGGCAACCCACGCAAATTAGAAATGAACGATACTACGCCTACTGCATTTACAGAGATCAAAACAGCTCTGGTGCAAGTTACACTTCTTGCTCATCCCGACCCATCAGCCACGCTTAGTATAGCGGTTGATGCATCTGATTTTACTATAGGAGCCGTTATGCAACAGAACATCTCCGGTAGTTGGCAACCCCTCGAGTTTTTCTCACAACGCCTTACTCCCACTGAGACGAGATATAGAGCTTTTGGTCGCGAACTGCTAGCAGCTTACTGCTCCACCAAACATTTTCGGCACGCAGTAGAAGGACGTCAATTTATCTTATTCACCGACTGTAAGCCCTTAACGTATGCTTTGCATAGCAAGTCTGACCGCTAATCACCACGAGAGTGCAGACATTTGGACTATATCTTCCAGTTCACGACAGACCTTCGTCACATCAAAGGCGAGTCAAACTGTGTTGCCGATGCTCTGTCACGTATCCAAGCGAATGCAGTTACCTTGCCGGTGCTCGATCTTCTTGCTAAGGCCGCCACCCAAGCAAACGATCCCTGTTGTACAAAAGCACCACAATCTACGTCGCTTCAATATCACGAAGTACCACTAGCCGCGACTTCAGGCACCATCTTATGCGATACTTCTACCGGTCTTTCTCGACCCATCGTACCCTCTGCTTACCGCCGTCTCGTATTCGATGCCCTACATATATTGTCTCATCCAGGTATCGCAGCTACATTACGCTTCATCTCTGCACGATACGTCTGGCCGTCCATGAACAAAGATGTTCGTATGTGGGCGAAGCAATGCTTACAATGTCAACGATCAAAAGTGCACAGGCACGTAGCCGCCCCCTTTAACACTTTCGCTACGCCTGATGCTCGCTTCGATCACGTTCACTTAGACATTGTAGGACCACTGCCACCATCGCATGGGTATGATCACATACTCACGTGCATCGACCGTTTTACAAGATGGTCCCAAGCTATTCCCATCACGTATATTACGGCGGAGACAGTTGCTCACCGCTTCGTAGAACGATGGATAGCTCTGTATGGTTGTCCCTCAACTGTCACGACTGACCGAGGACAACAATTCGAGTTCGCACTATTCTCCTCACTTACCCGGCTGCTTGGTACGGAACGCATACGCACTACCGCCTACCACCCAGCTTCAAATGGTTTAGTTGAAAGGTTTCACCGCCAACGTAAAAGTGCTCTTCGAGCACACGAAAACGACAATTGGTACGAAACCTTACCGCTCGTCCTCTTAGGCATCAGAACGAGCTTGAAGGCCGATATCCAATGTTCCGCCGCTGATCTTGTATACGGCACGACATTGCGTCTGCCTGGGAAATTCTTCACAGCACAGAGCAGTAATGAGTTCGGTAAATGAGACTACGTTCAACGTCTGTCTGCATTTGTGGGAACGCTGCCTCAGGCGTTAACTCAAATACAACATCGACAGGTCGCTCTCGAGAGAGAGTTATCTACCTGTTCACATGTTTTCATACGAGTAGATTCGGTACACAAAAATTTGCAACAATCGTATATCTATTTATGATTTATGCACATTATGATTCAAGTTGCTAAATGAATCTTCCTACTCATTTAATTCTTCGGATTTACACAATAGGTTTGATATTAAGAAGCATATATTGTAGCTGCATCGGACTTGAAAATAAAACAAGAAATGAAGATGTTACCATGACATACCTCTAAGTAACTGATGATTCAGAGCAGTATCATCAAAGATTTACTAGTTACAATGATCATGAGGATCCCAACCAAGTAGTTTGGAACTATAAACATGGCTTAGACTAACAGTCCATTACTTAATGAACGCATGTCAAATTTTGATTTCGCTACCCCTAGCTTTAATTACACTTGCTCCAACGTCGTGCCTTGAGGCAAGTGGTTGTTGTGGATAAGTACAACATTTCCCAACTTTTACAATCAATGAATATCCATAATCTTATCAGCCGATTAACTTTTTTCACTCAGTACAATTACTTAATAGTAGTAATAAAACAAATTGATGAGAAACAACAATAACAATGGTAAAATACTTACAGCATGTAATGTGAATATATCAACAAGATGAGATAGAAATATTTCACTAGACATGATAGATGCTTTATTCAATTGTTCTTGTCTAATATCTGGTTGATCATGCATTGGATGCATTAAAGTATTAATAGCATCTAAGACAGAATGTGTGACAGCATCATCACGTAGTTTTAATGCATTCACTACAAGTTGACCTAATGTTACACGCATTCTATATGAGTATAGAAAAATGAACAAAAGAAATGAATTAAAAATTATCAACATTATCATAATCGTTATATATTACATGTACGTAAATACAGTTAGTAACTGGATAGTTAAGAAGTACGACTTTCAACTACTAAGTCACACTAACTATTTTGGTTTGAGTTACCGGGTAGCATCGTTGGTTCTTACAATCGCTCAGTGGCTCATACCCAAGTATTTGGTGAATAAATTAACCTTTCAAAATAAAAAAGAAGCAAAATCACACAATTCACAATGCTACTTTGAAGTCAGTCAGTCACAACGTATAACCGAATGCGTGTATACATTGTTGGGGATGTTAGATCCTCAGAACTCACTTGGTAAATGCCTTAATTTTGTCATTTTATTTAGAGAATTTGAATTTTTTTGTTTTCGCGCCAAAAGCTCTCTTTTCACCTTCATGTCGTATTTCCCACTTGGGAAAATCTCTAACGCCATTGTTCCGTTGAATATTTTAGTATGCTATTTTTGCAACGCTTCCCAAGGACAGTTTTAAGCTGTATATATACGTTTGATTTGTGTCTGATATTATTCACTCGTGCTTCTGGGCTTGCGGAATATACTTTCTCGTTCCAAGCTTTGATTTCTCACTCTAGTTAGCGGGGCTGGGACGCATCATAATATCTAGCTGATGGGTCTTCGGTCACAAGTCTTTGTTCCGTTCGCATACTAAGTGAACTCGTAATAGCTTCAAACCTAGCATACATCAAGCCTCTAGGTTCTGTAATCTATCCCTGGCAAGGTCACAAGTAGGTTCTGCTGAAGGGCCCGATATTGAGATGAAACGGCTATTTTGCATTGTATGATTATTCAACGATTGCTTCACTACAAGTCCAGTCCATGATTTAGACCACATACTAAACAATTGCCAAAACATCCCCGAATAAATAATACAGAAAATAAAAATAAATCAATAATTTAACACTTTTATTTCTTAACAACCAAAAACACATAAAACTAACCCCGGTAATTGAGTGAAAGCATTAAACCCCGCTTTTGATGCAACCAGTCGACGTAATGCATGAAATTGTGCTTCAATTAAAATTAATTCGTCATTAGGATTAGTGGTAGTAGTGGTATTATTATTAGTAGTAGTATTATCAGTAGTATAATGTAAAGATGATGATGATGATCGTCTAATAGATGTTAAAGGATTTGCATCAATTATACGTGTATCTTGTGTGAGAATACAAACCAATGCATCTTTGATTAGTTTCTCTTTATTTTCTGCAAAAACACCCTGAAAATAAGTTAGAATAGGATTTTTTTAAATAACAACAAAATTAGATAAAGAAAACCATAACTTTGAGATATAATCTATCAGTTACCATATCTAGCATAGAGATATTAGTAAATAAAATTTAAACAAATATGTAATATTCAGTACAGGGTTGTGGAGATTGTTGATTTTTTATTGAGATCATGAACTGATCAATGCTGAGCCACCACTGAAAACCTGGAATCACTAGATGGCTGATTCATCCTAATATAGGACTCTTTAGCAGTGCACGTCTACGCATTTGCACAAGGCGGAAGGTCCTTGGTTAGTGTCCTGCGTGCAGGATCATGGGTGTGCAATGTTGAGGATTCTCATACTAGGACGAAGCGGGCGTCCTGTGATTCAAAGTTTTCAATGATTTTCTAACATTGTTCGATTCATGAACTCAATAAAAATGCACTATAGATAGTTGTTTCGTTCTAGTATGAGACAATTAAAAAAAAGAGCAACTAATGCTCATTATTGACTGAATTCCTTATAATGAAGTTCGGATGGGGAGTTGTGGTCGGCAGAGGTTAAGACATGTGAGGGGTAAAACAATCGTCGCTAATGACATTGAATGAACGTCATGTTAATTCGTGAACTCATTAAACCTACAAAAATACATCGTCAGAGTGAGATTTGAGAGTTTTACATTCTATGGCTAACGAGGTTGTGAGTATTACTGAGGACCTTTATTATTATCATCGAAAGGCGTACCAAAATTACTTTGAACACGCACAGGTTCTCTACTGTAATACTACTGGTCAAGTCACAACTGTCATCCGAGTTCACCTCTTCAAGTGGTGTTCGTAAAAACTGTCCACTTTACACATTATTATTTAACATTGACATAAAATATATCTCTAGAGTTAACACTACTATGATCTGACATTTGAGAGGTTGTTCTCCCAACATAAGATCCACTTGTTGACTTGGAATACGCAGATAATGTAGTTGTGGTTAGTGAAGTCGCTGACAAAATGTAGAGCATTCTGTCCACCTTAAGCAACAATGCGAGCATGTTTGGGATGTGATTCTCTCCCTCCAAATGTAAAATCTAGCTACAGTATTGATTGGTTTGCATCAGTGTCTGGATTAACGATAGGGAATGAAGTAGTTGAGTGTGTCGATCTCTTCACCGATCTTGTGAGTTTCATCAATCCTGACGGTCTAGTGTCTGATGAAATATCAACCCAGATTCAAAAGGATGGCAAACCACCACCTACTTCGACGTTCGATTTTGTCTAGTGGTAAGAGTATGGTGGAAGAAAACTGGAGGAGGAGGCCAAAACAAAATACGACAGCAGTCCATAAAGTCCCTGACAAATAAACTGAGTCTTTTTATCAAATATAGACTATCTTGTTGTAGTTCACATGATTATCGTAACCAATGTTTAGAGAGGTTGGATGGTGTGCGTTGAAATCGTTTGTAATGGTGTGAGTGTATCAGTTCTCTATCGTCCTCCATTTTTGAACCTCTGAATTCCTCATCATTCCTTTCATTTGACTAATTAATATTTTCGTGAATCGTATGTTCGTATTACCACTCATGTTGTTACTATCTAAAATATTGTGTTGTTTTGTCTGATATTTTTATCTCGTTATGTTAATGGTGTATTTCAACTTGAACTGATGTATACACGTTTTCGGTTATACGTTATGACTGACTGACTGCTTACTATGTCTTATTAGTAGTCAAATAGAGGTCCATTGAGGATGGATATCATCTACAAATTAAACTGATCTCCACAAACCCCGCAAAAGTAATTTGCTTGAACTCTTCCTCTGTTATAGCATTCACTGATAACGAGTTAGAAATAGTCGTACTCTGTCGAACAAATGTGAATGTTATCATCAGGAGTCAGTTTAATGTTACAACTATTAAACTGACTGATAACATTACTGACATGGTTGAATAGGCAGAATCTATAATCCACTCATGTAGTGAATTATTGAAAATCACCTAACCGCTTAGTTACGAATTCTCTTATGATTGCAAATATATCGTACCGACGAAGAAATCTACATCTAGGGCTTTATGTTGATCGCTTGAACTACGTAAGCTGACGAGTATGTCTCCTCTGTCGTTAAATCCAATGAACTAAAATACTGAAAAAAATATGAAGATGGATAAATACTATAAAAAAATATGCATGTTAACCAAACATTTCCTCTTACGTCTTGAGTAACGGCATGTAATAAACCACTGTAGGCAATGTTAGCATTGAAACGTTGTACTACTTCCCAAAATGAAACACCCTCTATAAAAAGCCAAACGAAAAAAAAACTAGCATAAATCACTGGAAGATAATCAAGAGGGATTTTACTTAGTTAGGAAAGTTTATCTTTATCCTATGAATTATGTTATAAAAGAAAACACTAAATGTTTCAGTACGGGTGAGCATTTATTGCCTGATCCAAAGGAGTCTTATTCACAGTCTTCAAGTTCCCTAAAATGCTTCCAATAAGAATGATAAAACGAAAGTGATCGTTCGGTGCCTAGATGGCGTTGGTGGGTAGTAAGTAGTAGGGATTTAGAAAATTCTGATTCTAAATCAACAGTGTACATGAGCTTTAAGTTCTAGAAAGAATAAATGTCTCAAAAACTTACTCTGATCGTCGGTTACAGGAGAATTACCTCAGTGAACCTTGCCTCACTGTTTTATGGACTAGACTAAGTCAAAGGGTTAGGGATGATTTATTGTGCTTAGGTTTTGTCCCAGACCATCTACATTTGATTATAAATACTATTGAAGAAAACGAAGAACATGGACTACTAAGCCCAATACTTATATAAACAATAAGTGACTCAGATGAAATAGCTAATTACAATGCAAAAATTTACTATACTACGATAATAGGACTGGATAAGATGATCCAGTTCATAATACCGCTAGATTGGCGACTTGAACAATCCTGTATACATAGACTAGATCTAGTTATAACATATAACAGATTCACTAACAAGAATAGAGAACCACAGTAAAGCTAAACAACACTTGATTTCACACAATTAGAATCAGTCACTTTCAGTGAGTTCGGAGTAGAAATCAACAAAACGAAAAGAAATAACATATTTAATAGTCGATAATTTGAGTACCTTTTTGTGCTTACTCAGTGAACAATCATTTACTTTCATTACCATAAACAGGATGGCTAAATGTAGTAGATAGAAAACTCTCATAATTGTAAGTATGCTTTGTGGACAAGTACCAACTACCGTGAAACTTAGACAGGGTTTCCTATCGACTGATTCCAATCACCTAATATCACTACACATCACAGGCTATGTCAAATTACCGGGATCAGTGACTAAATTACAACTAGATAGACAGAAACTTGATCAATATTAAAAAAGAATTAGATAAACATAACGTTAGTCAATATTCATCAGTGATCAATTAATTGTTTACATATAATTTGTATTAGTATATGCATGCATACATATAGATATATCATGTACCTGGACGTTGACGTAAAAATCTTAAATGTACTGATTCAACTTCTTCAGTTGCTGAATTCATTAATGGAATAAAACGTAAACTTCGATCAGAGAATGAACTGGACACATAAACATCACGATTACCACTGGCACGTACACCGTCTAACAATGATGCTAACAGAGCATCTCTAACGCGCGCACACACACACACACAAAATAAGGGGGATTTAGAAGTAGAAGAGAAAGATAAACAATTAATCATCTACACATAAAATAATATTTAAATTAGTCTATTTAGCAATATTTGAAATAAAAGAACCCCTAAATGCCCTAGTAAGGTCGAGAAAGGGGAGAGTTCACTCTCCCTCTCCAAATGCTCTCATGGCCAGGCATATACAACCAATATCAGGGAAGTCCTATTCACTACCTTCTCGAGGTAGGGGTGCTGTTTACAAAATTGAGAGAACGAAAGGCGAATGTCCTGTATTTATCCGGGTTGGTGGACACCAAGAGTCCACCTAGGGGAGTTGGAAAACCTTGATTCTAAAACCTATGGTAAATATAGGATCCAGGATCCTGAGGGAACAAATGGCGTATGAACCTACTGTTGGTTACTAGCTAACATGGGACTGCATCCACTGCCATGTGGATTAGACTCGGGAGTGATCCCCCAAGAAAACCATCTACTTCGGTTTGCGCACCTACCTGGGCAATATCACAACCCTCACACAAATTAGTGATAACCACTATTGGCCTCATTGTTCCTGTGTGGCGTATATGCATTTGGTGCCCCCTTGTACCAATGTTTATGTGTCCAAATAAATAAATAGTAAATAGCGAAATTAACCACATACTTTCCAGTTATTGACGTTTACATAAGTGAATTTATTCAATTTCTACATTATTACTAATTATAAATTGATTATATATTATTATATAATGACGAGAAGTGAAATGTAAGACCCATGTTTCGTTTTGTTCAAAACTCATTAGGCGAGATCTTACCTACATTCCAGTATTGATGTTTACATTGAAATTCGAACTCAATAACTATCACTTTAAACATCGATGCATTATCCACTAAACTACTAAGTTCGAATAGTCACTAACTTATTCACAAGGTAAGAATTTATTTGTGAGTGGTATGAAGTTTCTTATAATCAGTGTTAAGAACTTCAATTGATATATTTTTAAAAAAATTTTTTGAATGAACATGTGAAGATAAAACTGATTACCTTAAAATTGGATAAAGAATACGTGTCCGAGAACTTATAGCGCATTCCAAACGAAATTGTACATGCATTTTCTGGTTGATCCACTACTAGGCTACATTGTTAATTTATTAATCACTACGTAATGCACACTGTAATATATTTCTAGTTCATGATAAATTCAAGTTCAAAGCTTCCTTTATCTACTTCATTTTCACATATATCAACATAGTACTTATTACTCTAACGTTTATAGAAACAATCAAATGTCAAACAGGAATAAATAAACTTGAAATTGGTAAATGAATTTCACATGTATTCATCTTTTCAATTATTAATAACTAGATGATGAATGGGGTGAAAATCTCTTTTATGAAATAAAATTGCATTCGTTGAATTGTTCAGTAGGATTAAATGTAAGTACCTGGTCAGTATTGTAACAGAAATAATAATAATAATAATAAAATGCCATGGTACAATTTACCTGTTAGTGGAAAAATATGTAGCAATTTGTCCACGAACATATTCAATAGAAAATCTTTGTGGTTGAAAACGATCACGAACAAGTAAATGTATCTATATGAAAAACAATAATAAATTATACACAGTTAGTGTAGTCAAAGTTTTAAAATATAAACATAAGCTTACTTAGTGACTAATTTCAAGATAAGTTATAGAGATTCTACTTTTTTTTAAATTGTTGGGAACGTTAGATCCTCAGAACTCACTTGGAAAAAGACCTAGGTTTGTAATTTTATTTAGAAAATTTGAATTTCTTTGTTTTCGCGCCAAAAGCTCTCTTTTCACCTTCATATCGCATTACCCAGTTGGGAGAATCTTAAACGTTATTTGTCCGTTATCTTTTAGTATGCTATTTTGTAACCCATCCCAAGGACGGTTCTGGGCTGTATATATACATTTTGATTTGTATCTGTTGTTATCGCTCGTGCTTCTGGTTTTTTGCAGAATATACTTCCCCGTTCGGACTTCGACTTCTCTCTCTAGGTAGCGGGGCTGGGACACAATAGAATAGCTAGTTTATTAGTCTTTGGTCATAAGTCTTTGTTCAGTTCGCAGACTAAGTGAACTCGTAATCGCTTCAAACCTATCAAAAATGTAACTAATGGAGTTCCCAACGATGTTGTGAGACATTGAAAGATGATGATCACGCTATATCACGAATCATTTAGACTTAAGAAAGGAAGATTATCGAATGTACATTTATCAGTTTAAAAATAATTTATTCACTACAAAAGCTGATTGTAATGGATGTTGCTAGATTTCAAGTGATACAATAAATAGACGATATCGAAGGAGTCAGTCACAAATTAGGATAAAATAATTGTCTAATTCTGCTTGAGTTGAAAATGGTTATATCCAAAAGGAGTTAGTCTATTTTTAATGGATTTATGTTCTCTGAACTGGATGGTTTGGTCATGGAGATTTCAACGTTCTTCTGAACGACATCATCAGCATAAACTTCGGGTAGAAATGAAGTGTTCGAGTTAGTTTGTGAAAAAAAGTTATCTCATAATTACATTAATATAATCAATTAGCCCATCAAACAACAAAATACAACAAGTCACTGAGTTTTATCTTATTAAGTACAAGTCAACTGTTTCTATCACAGCCTTCTAACAGTCTATTGTATATTTGAGCAATCAATCAGAAACACTATAACATCTAATACAAACGTAGGTTATTCCAAAATTCCACTCTTCGTATTCATACAGCGATGAAGGAAGTTAACAAGGTGAGAATAAAAATATGCAAAGCAGGAATAATCTTGTTTAAAAGAAATGAATCTAATAGAAAAATGAAACACTTGGAATGAAAGTTCAATAAATAAAGAATTTACTTCACATAGTGGATGAGCAGAAACTGGACGATAACTAGTTGGATCTCTTTCTAATAACAATGATTCAGTTAGACACATCAAACGGGAAACTGTTTTCATTTGATTTGTAGCACCATAACGATTAGATAATTTTTGTACAGTGAATTCAGCTTGAGAAATTAAATGATCTTGACTGTACAAAGAATAGAAAATGAGTAATAAAGAATTTAACAAAACAATATTAAATAGTGAATGAGAAAAACTTGTTTTAAATACCACATTGAAGCATTACATGACATATTTGGAAGTTACTTACTTACTTACGCCTGTTACTCCCAACCGAGCATAGGCTGCTGACAACTATTCTCCAACTCACTCTGTCCTGGGCCTTTTCTAATTCCATCCAATGCTTGTTCATTTTTCTCATGTCTATTTCCATTTCTCGGCGTAATGTGTTCTTTGGTCTTCCTCTTTTCCTTTGACCTTGTGGATTTCATGTGAGTGCTTGCCTTGTGATACAGTTGGGTGCTTTCTTCAATGAGCGTCCTATCCACTTCCAGTGCTTCTTCCTGATCTCTTCCTCCGCTGGGATCTGGTTTGTTCTCTTCCACAGTACGTTGTTGCTAATAGTGTCCGGCCAACGGATCCGAAGTATTTTGCGTAGACAACTGTTAATAAACACCTGTATCTTCTGGATGATGGCTTTCGTAGTTGTCCAGGTTTCCGCTTCATATAGTAGAACTGTCTTCACATTTTTATTGAAAATTCTGACTTTGGTGTTGGTTGACAGACAGTTGTTTTAAGTTCCAGATGTTCTTCAATTATAGATATGCTATTCTTGCTTTGCCGATCCGCGCCTTCACATCCGCATCAGATCAATGATGCTGCCTAGGTATGTAAAGGTTTTCACATCTTCCAAATCTTCTCCGTCAAGTGTGATTCGATAAGTGCATGTTGCGTTGTATCGAAGAATATTGCTTTTCCCTTTGTGTATGTTGAGACCTACTGCTGCTAAGGTTGCTGCTACACCGGCCGACTTGGTCGATAGGATCCGATCTGCACTAAGAAGGACCTGACATACATGACACTTATCATCGCCCAGTGATTAAACAAGTGTCAACAAACGTTTCCTAATCACCTTTGGTTTTCTCACGCAATCATCTAGTTAGATACCCATACAAGAAGAGCATATATAAGTAGCAGACTAGGCGGACCGTGCCACATAACAGAAAACACATTTTAAAAACATGCAATGAAAAGGAACAAATAGTTTTATTATTAATACACCTACTTGACTTTCCCCAGTCTATATTCTGTGCAGTAATCACGTGTCAATGGACTCGACGGTTGACTAAATGATACAGAGAGATTGGAGTGGGCAGATTTGTTAACCTCTTTGATTAAATTATCCGGTTCACGTGTAAGGAATATATGCTATGATGAAAAGATGAGTGAAACTATTACCAATGAAGAATGCTGATGAAAATAAAGTACTGAGTTTATCAAGTGTTTTGATGGATTATTAATTCGATCACTTAGTTTCCAACGTATAGATCGTAGGTTGGAACCTGTTATCTTTTAATTTGGTTTAGGAAATCGGACAGTGTCACTATGACCCCTTACATAAACAGAATGACTCAAAGTTGGGTTCACACACTCGTTTTTAATCTAAGAACAGTACTATAATGACAATAATAATATTGAATCTGAAATAGGTAGGAATCGAAATAAGGAACAGTGTATGAACTGCTTTAACTTATATCTTGACAAGTGAAGGGGTCGTCGATAACTCTTGATTACTTTGAAGAAGAATTATTTCACAGTGTTATGTACGCAAACTTAAAAGTGTAAACAATGTTTTTGATGATGACAATGAATGATGTTCATTTGGATTTCAAGATTCCTTTTTTTGTTACGGATACTGTCAGTTGATGAATATCAGAGTCTGTTAAACCAAAGTAATAAGTTTCCTAACTGTTGATTCGTGTACCCAGTTTGGAGTCATACATTATATGTATGGGTTTAGCTTTCGGAGCAGCGCGATATCCGTCTGCTGACCAAAGAGTAAGTATACTGTGCAGCAGCTCGTTCTGTATTATTCTGTTGTTGTGCAATATGATCTATAATCGCATTAGGGATATGTATGCTGCAGGTTTGTGATATTGAGTGTCTTCCGAGCATCGCTGGAGCAAATGAGTGGGCAATAATCAGGTTAGGTATATATATAGGTACCCAGTAAAAATGGCTACTCGAAATACAAAGATTTTAGTTAAGTTAAATCAGGCTTTGTTTAACAGATCCACCAAAGAGTAAGTCAGTTATTGTCAACAGAGAACCAGGTTCAAATTCTCACATGCCAACACCAGTAAAGTAGAGGAGAATCGACAAACTGATGGTCGAAAGTTTAAGAGCTCACTGCAAGAACCAAAGTTCATGAGATAGATTGTTTTTAGGAAGATGGATGAGCACTCCCAAAGAGTCTCATACTAGAATAAAACAGTTGTTTAGTGCTTCCTAGTCTTTAGTAGTTGTCTGACTAAGCCTAGCCCGTGATGCAAACGAAAAAAAAAAATGAAATGTGTAATAAATAAAGATTGACTTACAATATGTCCAAACCCACCGTGAATAATTGCTACTCCATTCGAAGTATCATTTATCTGTGATAAGCAGTATAAATAAGTAAACAAATGATTTTAATTTAATAACGCACTCTAATTAATAAAATGTTGTTTTAAAAAACAGGAAATATGCTTTGATTGGGCTAATACAAAAATTGTAAGCTACTTTTATCGTTGAACGGATTAAATGAACCAAATCACTGACAGATATACAAATAATGTAGGGGAATTTGTGAAGGTAGCAGAATTTTCACAGTTTAAATCACGAACTGATCTTATCTAGACCACCATTAAAAACCTGTAAGCACTGGGTGGCCGTTTCGTCCTAGTATGAGACTCCTCAGCAGTGCGCATCCATGATCTTGCATCGGACATCGAAGGTCCTGGGCTCGATTCCCACGTGCGGGATCGCGGTTGAGCACTGCTAAGGAGGTCCATACTAAGAAGAAACGGTCGTCCAGTGATTACAGGTTTTTAATGGTGGTTTAGTTAAGATCAGTCCATGATTTGAACTGGAAGACGTACAAGTAATGGAAGCCACAAAATTAACTACTTCCAAATCATGAGACCTTTTTACACCGGTTTTTTAAAAATACTATCAGGTCAAGATATGAACATGATCGACTTACATGACTGTCTTATTATATATTTATCTAAACACAAACACTGGTACTAAACACCAAAATTCGCTTTTTGTTCTCTCAATTTCGTGAATAACACCATCGCCATGAGAAGGCAGTGAGTAAAACTCAGTCTGGTTCATCTTGAGCAGATAAGACTGTAAGTGAAGCGGTAGTTTAGTAGGTGAAGTTTTCAATTTCCATTCACTGGTTTCCAGGTTTGATCTTCACTCTATCTACTTTGAAGATTAATGCAAGAACAATGTATTTAGGTTACATAGCGGCGCTATATTCCATTTATTCTGTGAATCCATAACACTTTTCTTATCTTTCTCACACGAACACAACACTAGCAAGTAATGCTTGATATGAAAGTTTCTGGGATAAAATATGCTAAATATTTTCAAAGACTCATTTAATCATGATATCAACTATACCCAAAAGAGACATTTCCAAATCTTATTATTATTTACTGTTGTCAAACTGTATGGAAACAGCTAGTCGGAGAAAATAATCACCAAACATTAAAAGTTGTCAAAAATCACTAGATCAAATATTACAACACAAAAAGTACTCTGAGCATAATAATGTCTCATACAAGACCTTATATTAGCCAAACTCACAACGTGAAGGCTTCAAATAAGATTATTCAAATAGGATTTTTATATATCTAGATTGAAAGTGTATATCACATTACCACTCGGATTTCTACAGATATATGAACATTTCAACTATTTCTAATGACTTACAATACACAAACACACACAGAGAGAGACACAAAAAGAGTAATTAATGATAACTTACTTTACTAATGCATTCAATATCTTTAAAATCATAAGTTTTCCATAATTCACCAGTACGTGGATTACGTACATCAATTGAAATTGGACCAATATCCAAGATTACATCATATGTTGATTCTGACCAACTAACTTTAGTAGCATGTATTCGCTTTCAATAAAAGAATAATTTAAAATAACTGTTGTTAAATGGGAAATATAACACTTCAGTTACTGTTTTATAATCACTAATAGAAAGTGGAATAAATGACTATATTGACTAGTTTATATGAATTGAATGAGAAGGAGTAATATGTATGTATATATGTAACTCATTCTAAGATATTTTAATGCAACTTGCTATATTGATTAGAAATAGTATATTCGAACGACTGATAAAGGAATGATAACTTCCAAGACTCATTTTATGGACTACTGTTTATATATATATATATATACATTCTGGCTTTTGATCGACACATTAACTACTGTTGTATGATTTACTATTCTCAATCTGTTGCCAGTTTGTTATTCAGTGTTCCCTACTCACACCCAGTTTTGGCACATTCATTTATAACTATGATTTTTTATTTTATGGTATGTGATGTGGTTTGATATGCCTGTATATAAACTGTCTTCTTGAAATATAATATGATAGAATGCAAGCTGGTTAATGAGTGTAAAACTCAGACGGGTAAGGCATAGAGAGAAAGCTATCAAGTTGTAGATCAGTAGAAACTTAATAACTGACTCAAGGTTACTAGTGCTAATTGGAGGTGTAATTGGTTTAATTCAGAGATAATAAGTTAGATAAAACGGTAGTCTGACTGGTGGTTTCATCACATGATATAAGTCAGCAGCTATAAGTCACAATAAGAAAGATTACAATGAATGCAATAACATGATGATTATATCAAATCATCCATTTGGTTGTGTACATGAATTTGAAAGTCAAATGCTTAAAAATTTCAAGTAATTCAACTTGAAACTGAATATAAATGAAATTTATCTTTCCCTACAACACAATGATTTCCTTTTTATTTGTATTTTAACTTGTTGTTTTTTTCTTCTACCGTCACTTAAATCCTCACTCCCGTCCCCGTCTCACTATTCTACATGGAAAACAATCTTCCACTATCAGCCAGTAAGTCAGTTACAACATAGGACCAGGCACATATATGCATCAGTCCAACTTGCCATACCTCATTATCACAAGATAAACAACAAATCTATAGAAGCAGTTACTTCAATGGTAGTAACATATAAAAGAAAGATTGTATTTAAGGATATATATATCGTACAGGAAGAAAGAATTAGTTGGTAGAAAGAAAGGTAGAAAGTAATTTTAATTTCATAGTTTAAGGGAAGACAAAGAGTGTATACACCTACACCATTGTAGTCGATTCTCAGACATGTCACACAGAGTCTCCAATCATTGATTAGAATAGTCACGTGGACCCCAACCAAGAAGTCCGCGTCCACCAATATGGCTCAGACTATAAGTTAGTGACTTCAAGCACTGATGCCACGTTTTGGATTGGCCACCCCTAACTTTCTTCCAACCATTCCCAACACTAGTCAGCATTGCGCGTCTTGGTAATCGGTGTTCAGGCATACGTAACACGTGGCCCAACCATCTCAGTCGATGAAGATTCATAACCTCATCAACTGATTTACCATCATTTCCTAATACCCTGCGTCTGACCTCACTATTACTTACCCGGTGATCCCAGCAGACGCTGGCAATGTTTCTAAGACATCTGTCATCAAATACTAGTAGCTTACGAGTATCGTCTACTTTTAAAGGCTACGTTTGGCAGTCTTAAAGTAGAACAGAACGAACGGCCGAGTAGTATACTCGTCTTTTTATTGATAGACGGATATCTTGCCTTCGCCACAGGTGTCGTAAGTTGGCAAAAGCCAAACGAGCTTTTCGAATCCGTGCTGAGATTTCGTCCGATATCAACCCATTAGGGCTGATCAGACTTCCAAGATAAGTGAAGTTGTCAACGCGTTCGACTGCTTCACTCACTGTCCTTAGTTCAGGCGTTGACGCAGGTCATTTCTGAAGCACTGTCTTGTATTTAGAGGGAGAGAAGAGCGTAAGAACTCTGTAATTTATGCATTGAATAACAAAAATTAATTGTCCCCTACTTGAGTTCTTATTCGTAAGAAAACTATAGGATATAATTAAGATGATGATTAACAAGAAATTGATTAATTTACTCAAAATATACACATTTAGGGTTAATACTGAATAATGACTTTCAAAAAAATTAGCGCTTAACTAGCTGTCAACGTGAAATTCAGTTTCATAATAATGTAGACAGGTATTTCAGTCAGTCAGTCAGTAACAACGTAGAACTTCGTACGTACGTATGTACATCAGTTCGAGTTGCCATACCATATTAGCACAGACATGCAGTTGTCGATACAAATCCCATACTGGTAGAGGTAGTAAGAGTATAAGCAGTAATCGGAAAGATTAGGGTTTGAAGATATTATTCAATGAGTATAATCCAGTGAAGTAAATTTGGAAAGAGAAAAAAGAAAGGAACATGAAGAATTTAGAAGATTAGGATTTAGGGGAATACAAAAAGCGGATGCGCCTGCGCCATTGCAAACGATTTTGAGCCATTTCATTCAAGGTCTCTAACCATCGGTTGCTATCATCTCGCGGACAGGTATTTACATAACTGAAAGCATCGTTTGTTTTTTTTAGTGTCATAGACGATAAACTAATAACAATAATACAATAAGACTGTATTTGTCATGTACCTCTTCATAAAAATCCTATACTAATTCTCTTGTCGAAATTTTACCATGAACATAGGACACGTATTCTTTTGAAATAAACATTGTCATTAGTCTATTAACTATCGTAGTGTCTAATATGTCATTCTGTGCAATAATTTACAAAACTATTTACGAATTAATGTATACATCAATGAAATGTAAAGGAATATTAACTCCCAAAACAATCACCAGTGTCTTCTAAGATTTATTGCTCATGTATGCGTTTAGAACAATCAAAATATTATTGTTGAGTATATCATTTCCTAGTATTACAATTATACAAACTATACAGTCATCATTCGCTTTCTACCACATTATTTGATATAAAACATATCATATAGGTTTATTGAAAACTGACTGATCAATAGAATTCGATCAGCACTGAGAACGACTTAACATAAATAATATTGGTCACTACTCAGTGGATCAATCACAGGAAGTCGCAGGTGGAGTAGTTTAATGGTGACACGTCTGACTATCAAACTGAGTAATATGAGATCAAATTCGCCAAGGAATATTTGTTTCTTTAAGATTACAGATACATTTTGCTGATGAGTGAGTATCAGCTACCCTCAACTACTACACTGTATCATATAGATATTTTGAATAATTGGTTTCTTCATATCCACCCTGTTCATCATTGATGAACAGGGTGGATATGATGCAGATGTGAAGGTGTGGATCGGCAAAGCAAGAGTAGCATATCTATAATTGAAGAACATCTGGAACTCAAAACAACTGTCTGTCAACCAACATCAAGGTCAGGATTTTCAATACAAATGTGAAGACAGTTCTACTATATGAGGCGGAAACCTGGACAACTACGAAAGCCATCATCCAGAAGATACAGGTGTTTATTAACAGTTGTCTACGGAAAATATTTCGGATCCGTTGGCCAGACACTATCAGCAACAACCTACTATGAGAGAGAACAAAGCATATTCCAGCGGAGGAAGAAATCAGGAAGAAACGCTGGAAGTGGATAGGACATACATTGAGGAAAGCACCCAACTGCGTCACAAGACAAGCCCTCACATGTAATCCTCAAGGCCAAAGGAGAAGAGGAAGACCAAAGAACACATTACGCCGGGAAATGGAAATAGGCATGAGAAAAGTGAACAATAATTGGATAGAACTAGAAAAGAAGGCCCAGGACAGAGTGGGTTGGAGAATGCTGGTCGGCGGCCTATGCTCCATTAGGAGTAACAGGCGTAAGTAAGTAAGTAATATACAATAACAGTAAGCTTACCACATTTGATTTATTTCCTTTGATAAATTTATCCCGAAAATGCTAAAAAAAGTGTACGAAAGAATGAAAAGTGAATATTGTTCCAGCAGTAATATGAATCAACAGTGTAAATAATAATAATAATGATTTTTCCGATATATAACAACTACAGATTCATTATAAGGAATGGACAATATACGAATTACCGTAGCTACATCCTATTTGATCAGAAAGTGAAACTTAATTACAGATTCATTTACTTGATTATGAACCAGATTATTTGAGTGTATGTCGTTGTGATGATTAACGATATACTAACCAAGTAAAGCGGATTAGTATATAACAGCTTTTAATCAATAAGTCATATGTTTGAACTCCACTTTATCTACTTTGATTTAAATAACCGAGTGATATCATTATTCTTCATGTAAACCGTATAACTTTTAAAGCCCAGTATATAAACTTATACTTGATAAATGAACAAGTTATTTCGTCTGATAAATTGAATGTTGTTTGGAATACTGTATACCAGTGATTCAAATACTAAGCGATTGTATTTCAAATTTACATAAACAATGTTACATTTCTGAAAATGTTATCTTGAATACAGAAATAAACTTATTTCCAAATTTGGAAGTTAGAGATTCTAAATACATTAAGAAGTCTTCATATTCAAATCATATTTGATTTAAAAAACTCTCTATTTTAAAGATCACAAATTTTATCAAAAAGGGTTTTGTGGAGATTTCAGAAATTTCAGTAGTTGAAATCATGAGTCAATTGAAGCTAGACCAACATGGAAAACCTGGAAGCACTGGACGGCCGTTTCGTCCTATTGTGAGACTACCTCATCAGTGCGCACCCACGATCCCGCCTCGCAAGATTCGAACCCAGGACCTATCAGTCTCGCGCTCGAGCGCTTAACCATTAGACCACTGAACCGGCCGGCATCCAACGATGTTAATGTCTAACTTCAACCAATCCACAGAATTGCGCCACCGTACACCGTTGTCTTCAGTGAGCTGATATCCCACAACAGACTGGGTTGAACTCCATTGGTTACGGCTTCTCACTAGGACTCCAGGAAGTGCCTCTTGAAGTCCGTCACTAGTGAACAGATGATTATTATCAGAAGGGGTTCGAATCTCGAGGGGGGCGGGATCGTGGATGCGCACTGCTGAGGAGTACCATACTAGGACGAAAAGATCGTTCAGTGCTTCCAGGTTTTCCATGGTGGCCTAGCTTCAATTGATCACAAATTTGTTCAGTTTGTGTTTGTCAATATCAACAAACAAATCAAACTAATTTAGGTTATTTTATAGTTTACATTAAAGATTGTTTGTAGCTAGATAACTTTCCTTTGTATATTACCATCACTGAATTAATTACTTCTATGAATCCGGTATTCATCTTGTTGTGCTAATGAGGTATGGCAAATTGGACCGAAGCACATATGCGCTTAGTACTACGTTGTAGCTGACTGTCTAACTGAGACAACTATTGAAGACCAGAAAACAATCGATAATTAATTTGTTCTAGTATAGAACTCGTGATTTTTAATGATTACTTAGTTACAGTTAGTTTGTAATGTACAAATCTCCTTATACTCTAAATTGATTTAAGATGATCAATGTTACTATTTATCGACTATGATGTGATATAAGTTCGATATTAAGAAAAAATTATTAACTCTCAAATAGAAGGTAAGACTTAAAGATAAGTACAAAAGACTATATTTGTTGAATGAGTTACAGCCTATATTATGGACCCTGCTTCGGTTCGGGCAGCAGGGCAGTATCCCAACCCTTACACAAATTGAATGATTTATGTGGCGCATATCTATTTGGTGCCTTCTATATTATTGACACAGTTCATTTGTTATTCATTTCTTAAACAATGAGAATAATTAAGGTGTAACGCCTACGAAGATATTAAATTTCTTGTTAGTTAATCTAACCAATTTATCAAGTAGCATATTCATTACAAATACAGATGAAATTCAATTTTACAGAGTGATTAAATAAAATGCAAAGAGATGTAATAGCATTCAATTACTAACCATAGTTAGTTAGTTAGTTATAATCCTGTTTCATTTAACTCAATTTACGAAGCTAACAATCGCACATAAAGATTTCATTCATTTATTTACTTTTTACACACATAAACATTGGTACAAGGAGGCGCCAAACAGATATACGCTACATAAGTCATTCAATTTGTGTGAGCTGAGATACTACCCGAGTGCCCAAACCGAAGCATGTGGTTTTCTTAAGGGGCCACACCTAGAGCCTTTGACCTAAAGGTATAATCCACAAGGCAGTTGAGCAACACCAGGAGATGCAGTCCCATGGTAGCCGGTAACCAACAATAGGTTCATACGCCATTTGTTTCCTTAGGATCCTGGAGGTCATGGTTTGGAATAAGGGTTCTCCAACTCCCCTAGGTGGATCCTCGTATTTACCGACCCGGTTTAAGCGTCAATCTCGTAAACAACACCTTCGCCATGAGAAGGTAGTGAGTAGGACTTCCCTGGTAGTGGTTGTATGTACGTGGCCATGTGAGAGCATATGAAGAGGAAGAGTTGACTCTCCCCACTCTTGGCTGTAACAGGGCATTTGAGGACATTTAAAAAATGCATGACTTATGAATACAGTGGTCTTGAGTGCTGTTAGAGGTATGAGGGTGGGTATCACTTACCGGTTGCCCACACTGTGGAAGGGTTCTTCTTGGAGGTACCTGAAAAGGAAATTGGATTAGAGGTGGTCTTAGTGACCTGAGAGCGTGACCGCAGTGCCCAAGGGACAACTGCTTGAGGTCGGTCACACACAACCATTTTTATGGGTAATTTTTGTGTTAGCTCCGTACTTGTTGAGACCTTACCGCCGGAAACCGATATCTGTGGGATAAGGCATGACTTATAGCCGATAATCAAAGCAGGTACTTGATATGATATACATATATGAAAATTATTTACATTTATTACAACAGTGAATATGTAAAACTGAATGTAAACAATGATAGAAAGAAAAACAAGTTTTTTTGTTTTAGAAAACAAAAAATGAATAAATTCTTACCAATAAATCAGTTAATAATTCAACACGAAATTCCGTAGCAAATGTTAATTCATGACGTTTACGATTAGTGTCTAATATATCCAAAATGAAACGTTTAAGCTGTGGTTGATTTGACTTGATATTATGATCTATTTTAATCTCGTAGATTTCTTCATAGGTCCACTGTTATGATTTGTGATTGTTTTACAAATACAAATGATAAGTTTAGAAGAGAGAAAGAGTATTTGTTTTTCTATGTAAACCGATAGTAACTATGAATAAATCATTGAAAAACCAGAAAGTATTCATCGTTTGTTTCATCATGGTTTCAGGCTTTACGGAAGATAATGCTTATTGATATAATTCATTTATTGAGCTAGTGATACTACTTAGTTAATCAAATCCAAGTAGATAGGATGAAACTCGAATCTGTAATCTAGTGGTTGAAAGTTAAACTCTTAACCCATTGACCCATTTTTAAAACTCTAAATTCTCAGAATATCATGCACATATGAACTTGATTGATTTCAGGACTTTCGCAACTAAGCAAGAGTTATATTCAAGACTAAAAATTGGAGAATCCAATTTCAATCAATTCATGATATTGTGCGTTGTCAAATATTAGTGATGATACGTATTTGACTACTGAGAAGCAATTCAAGAACTACTGAGTATTTCGCAAATGATTATTCACTTTACCGAGTCGCTTGGAGATAGTGTCCTACAGAATTCCAAAAGAAGTGACTAGACGTATATTCTTTTCTCAAACAAACCTTATATCTTTCAATGCAAAATGGTTTAGTATGACTTAGCAATCAGGTACAGATTGATGAAATTGGCATTAGGCTATGTATTATTGAAAGATGGATAGTGGCTAGCAGTGGAATCCAGGACGCCCGTTTTGTCCTATTTGGGACTCGTCAGCTAGATGTACCTGCGTCCCAGAGTTTATTTCCACTCCAGGACTCGAACCCAGTACCGTTCGCTTCAAACACTATCGTGTTATCCACTTAGCTACTGAGTCCTGATAGCCACCTGCTTGTGCAATGGGGTGAAGTTTGAATTCACTCGGTGTTGTTTTGCTTGTATCTTCCCATTGTTGTTTAGGAATGCATCAACTCTGGGATGCAGGTACATCCATCTGACGAGTCCCGAATAGGACGAAACGCGCGTCCTGGATTCCACTGCTAACTACTATCTGTCTTTGCTTAAAAAGCTTATGACTTAAGGCTACATCGAGGCAATCCACACAGGATGCACATATGCCAAAATGAGACTGATCAATTGCAGTCCTAAATAACAATGGGAAGATACAAATAAAACAACAACAAGTGAATTTATATATTATTGAGTTTAAAAGTTGTTAGAAGAGAAATGAGGTTATGTTTGATAAATTAAACACTGTAAAAAGCATATCTATTGACGTTCATTAGCAATCAGATTATCACAGCAGCTTTTCCAAATTACCATGTTTCAGATGATGGAACAACACTTCAACCTAAATCACATCCACATATTTAGACAAACATGTTAAGGGAGAATATTTGTAATCCTCTTTGAAATACGTGCTGATGTTCGACATAATAAAGGAAGCCTCACAATAAATCTATCCAACTCATATATTATAAAACCTCCAGTAAGTGTTAATGCTAATTAATACATTTTCGTACTTGATATAAATGCATTATTCATCCCAAAAGGTTAGAAAGAAAGCTTGGTTACGTGTCAATTATTAAACAGCATACTTAATAGAGAGAAAAAGATCTTTAGAATCAAGTAAAATCACTGATAACTTAAAATAGAATACTTGGGGACAACAGAACACAAAACTCCATACTGTTAGAGGTCTTGAACTAACAGAAAATAGATTTTGCGTAAACTGATTACCTGGTTTGTCACTCTTAAAGTATCCTTGTTGTATGTTGTTACACCAAGAGTGCCGATTGTGAAAAGACGTTTGTAACTGGACATGAAAACGTTAAAATACAAAAAATAAAATGAATAACTTTATTTTACAAGTAATAGGGACTTTATTAACATAGTCTGACCCACAAGAGTTATTCTATTATCAAGAAAGCATAGAAAATTGCAATGTTCATATCGTCAACAACAAAAAAATACCGAACCATGAATATTGCAATCAGCTACGTTTTGAACACAATCTTTCTAAACTAATTCAGAATAGCCTCCTGAAATAATGAGAGATACAAACTCAACGAAAACTAATTATTATGCTATCTATTTCCCAAATATTGCTCATTCACTAGGTACTTATGAATGGGTAACACTAAGTGACGACGAATGATACTATCCAGTTACCCAAACCAAAATACTTGAAGTATGATTCGAAATTGATTTTTATTGCTCGAAAGTTTAGCACGTTAAAGACCAGGACACAAATGTACTATAGAAACCAACACATTTTTAGTCCGAATGGAAATTCTAGTTCATTTCCAAAAGATAACAATGTACTATGCATTTGTTGTATATAATAATCATAAACATGACCACCAAACAATAAAAATACATGCATTTATGAATAAAATGTTCGACTATAGTGGCGTGATGAAATAAGATGTCAGTTTTTGTAGTCAAAAACCAAACTTTCATGTACCTTCTGAGGCGTTAACTTCTACCAAGCAAGTGTTTAATGGTTTAGTCTTTTGAATGTTAACTATTCGGTTAGAAGTTTCATCCCTTTCGTTTATATGAAATCAGGTACAACTACGTGCCCAAAATAATATGCACTACAGAAGATAAAATTTGGTTTGAGTAGCTTTTTAGCGTCACTAGTCACCTATCACACATGATGTGATTCCGAGTAGACTACATACAAGTCAGCTTTAAAAAAGTTACTAGTAAAGCGTAATCAAATGTAGAAAGACTGCAACTTTGCGTTATACATTTGAAGTGTGGATTTATGTGATAATGGCTACACTTGAGAAATTATTGCGCCAAGTACACATTGCTTAAGTGGATTCCCAAGCTGTTATTATTGTTTCCAAAAGGTAAGTAACAATAAACGTGAATTCAGGCCGCAAAACTAAATTGTCACAGCTAGATGAGACAGTAGTACATATGATCATGGAAAAGATTAAATGCAAAGAAAATGGTTTAAAAAGAAACGAATTTGCAGAATTGATGAATCAAGTGATATTGGCACGCAAAATTTGGGAGAAAATAATTAATGCATAAATCTGAGTCACCGCAACTAATTTTGATTTGTGAAACCTGGCGTTTTCAACCACAGAAAATGATTACTAGGCTGAGAACAACCACAATGTCCTAGCCTTCAACTGAATTAGAAAACGGTATAGTTCTATTTGGTAAAGCTGACAAAATGTGGTCTTCTAGCTACTTTAAACAACAATGCATGGATGTTCGAGATATTATCTCCCTTTAAATGAAAATATCACTTGCAGAATAGGGAAGCTAGCCATTCGCTAATTTGAGAACGAGTATACTGTGCAGCAGTTTGTTTTGTCCCACCTTATGGATATAAAATGTGGTATTTGTAAATAAGGGATATTTGCCAGTCACTAGTATTTGATCATATATGCCATCGAAGGATTATTTTTATATGTTGAGAACAGTGGTCACTGGGAAGGGATCGCAAATCGGTTGATGATGCAGTAAAGCATTAACGACGGAGGCTATTGAGACAAGTAATACGTGAGAACGGTCATCAATGACTCCGGCGAGAGATAAAGGGCGATGCAGAAGTAGGTTGGAAGTTAGGGGTACCCAAACCAAGATATGCCATCAGCCCATGAGGACACTGATTGATGAGCTGAACCCCCTATTTGGGGTCTGATCGATTATTGTAACCAATGGTGATATGGCCCATAATTATTCGTGATGGAGTAAATTCTAAAACTAATTTACTCCACTAATTCATATTTTCTCGAATCATGTTCTCTATGCCATCTTTCAGATCACCACTCTACTACTCTACGATATGCTCTCACAATCTCATCTCTCTGTGCTACTGGGTTGTAGAAACTTGAAGGGACTAAAACACAATGTAAATTTCACGCGGTTGAATTTAGACTGTTACTGCTGTAACTGATACCTACGCTTAATCTGGTTGTAAGGTATACGAAATTTGGATAACGATAGAGTAAGTACTTATTTTACCAGATTACTGACAAAATCTTGTCATAAAAGAAAAGAAGACTGCTCATATTGTACTCCTTAACCGATATTATAGATGGCAGTGTTGATGCACTCATTTTCTCCATTTGGAGTCAGATATATTGCATTTGTTCTGTTAAACAAAATCGGAAATAAGTTATCTGCACAACCGTTTGGCATCATCATAAGTCAACAAATGCTAATTACTTATAATTCAGTTATCAATGATAAATCATAAAAACATGTTGTTTGGTCGGGAAGAGTGGAGGTCTTAAAACTATCGGGCTGAACCTTATATCAATTTACAAAGACAATAACTTTCTATCTGACAATCTTAGAAGAGCATCTTGGTAAGATAATAACGTCATAAGAGCTGAAAATAATATGAAATTTCCCGGCTCGTTTGATATTTTCTAGAACACCTATATCCAAAAAAGATTTTAACTACGATTATCCCCAAAACAATAGTAATCTACTATACTGACTTAAGAAATTTTCCAAGAAATCAAAGTAAGCTAAGAAATTTAACCTAAGAAAGCTGAGCTTTGTTCGAACATACGATATGTTTGCAGAACCACAGTTCCTCAGATGATCAGCTTATCCTGCGACGAAAGATTTCAAATGTCATGTACTGTATTTTGTCTTTTACTAGGTAAGCTAACATACTAAAAATATCGTGAGTAAAAAATGGTCTAAGAGACCTATTTATCTCTTTATTTAATTCATAATAGAACAGTCTGAAGGATATAGAATAAACATCTGGGAGACAAGATAGATCTACGTCATTTCGAATCGTTAGTTCCTTTGCAAACTGCTTGAGAACTGAACCCGCCAGAAATTTCTGGTCATCAAGTAATCAACCCATAAGAAAATTGTACACAAATATTCCAAAAATCGACTTTTAAAGGCACTTTATCCCCCTTAACTCACTTAAAATCAGAAAGGGATTTATAAGGGGTCTAAAAGAGTACAAACGTGTGGAAGTTACAGGGGAAAACTAAAGCCAAATTGGTAAACTTACTTCCCCTTCCAAGACATCTTCGTCAAAAGATAACATGATACTTCACGGTTCTTACTCATACATGCTCGTCGCATGTCGCTTGGCTAAATAAAATATTATGGAATTAGTTTTTCTAAAGGATAAAAGGAAAAAAGAGGCAACTGCGAAACTAACCATATTTCACTTGAACTCAGGTACAGACCAAAACCAAAAGAGGTGTCGGAGCACTTGAAGGTCAGATCTCCGTAACGTAATTGGTGGGTTAAACTGATCAGTGAGATACATTTACAAAGCGGCCAAGTCAATATTTTGAGATACCGGCGACTGCCGTCCTTGAAGTAACCAATCAGAATCCAGTACGCTATAACATGTTAGGAATAACCTGTATTAAACTGTGGTACGGATAATGGAACAATAACTTCATGTAGGGAAATGGTGTTGAAAGACTACACAGGAAACTCTTACTGTAACCAGTGTTTCTTAATGGCTTCATACCCATACATTCAGTATTTTTGATCTGATATATGACTTCAGGGACAGTTTGATACCAGATTCGACAACACCAAATAAGTCCACAAATCATAATTTTGGCAGTTCGAGATATGTGATGGAAATTAAAAATAAGTCCATTGTACTTCAGTCGAAGCCATACCCCAGTGACCGCAAATAAAGTGCCTCGCTAAATACCATAGAGAATAAAATTGCTATGAAATACTTGCTTAACAGAACCTGTCTTTGACTGAGTAATTAGATCAGTCTGTAGAGAAGTTCGATCACATTTTGGCTTCGTTCAATGACAGAAACATGTATAGCAGACTTGGTAATTTTCTAAAGTACTGAGAGCCCTTTCTCCACTTATATAAGCATGCAGCAAATGAGGATGGATTAAATCATGTCCACTGGTACCATGACACTTATGACAAGTCTTTCGGAAGTTGCAGGAAATTTTAAATATTCCCTAACCTCAAATCTTCCCCCACGACGACACTTTCGGGAACTCCTCAGCCAGTACGCATTAGTCGCAACCGTATCCTGTAGATATAGCCATTTGTTATACATCATGAGTACGAGGACGAAGGTTTTCTATCTCGACAACAGTGGCTCAGAGATTAACGTCCTTCTCACACATACTAACTGTCGTCCACAATATCTGGTATTCAATTAACTGGTGGCAAACGGAATATCGATCAACGCTTACTGTTAAATGTTCATTTACCTTAACATAAGATTGAGCGAATCCGTCAACTAGCTTTTGTTGTTGCAGATGTACCAATATCAATCATCGGCATAGATGCACTAGAACACTATGACGAAAGAAATACATTGTCTGTTTATGAAGTTTCAACTGGCTCTTCTAGGACTACTACAACTCAAGAGTGAGACAATATACCGGCCGAAGCACTCAAGTTAGACGTAGAGGCTATCGTACACCTGCACCATATTCTATTCAGGAAGACTTGGGAGGAGGAACAAGCGCTACCGACAGACTGGAAAGAAGGATACCTCATCAACGCACCAAAGGAAGATCTTAGAAAATGTGGGAACTACAGAAGCATCGCATTACTGCCAATATCAGGAAATGTTTTCTTTTCGACGATATCATTTACTTGAGTTGTACATTCGTAAATATACTTATGTGAAAAATATACGTCTATAGGAGGTAGAAAAGATTGCATCATAAATTGATTTGAAACTAAATATCCAATGAGGTTGCGTACTAATCAAGGGGTAAGGAAGAAAAAAATTCATATGAAGAAAAACGACAAACTTAAGGTCATAATGATAAACTGAATAGTAATGAAGCAAACTTGTAATAATAATAACTGAATAAATTTTAAAATTGCAAAACAATAATTTAAAAAATTCAGTAATAATCAAATAAAAGTGCAGAAGAGAAAAAAACAAAGACTCGCTGAAATCTTTTTTTTCTTGTTCAATGACGCTAAGGGTTATTTTAATTGCCAGGAAAGGTTTTCAATAGAGTGTTGTTGAATCGGATGAACGATTCCGTAGAGGTCCAGCCTCGAGATCAACAAGCCGGGTTCCACAAAGATCGGTCGTGCACAGACCGGATCACGACACTGCGGATCATCGATATACAATCAATCAAATGGAACTCGTAACTATATATCAACTTCCTTAACAATGAGAAATCATTTGACAGTGTGTACAGTAAAACATTATGGAAACTTCTTCGACACTATGATGTACCTGAGAAAATGGTCAACATCATCCGGAATTCATGAGACAGACTACACTGCAAAGTCGTGCATGAAGAACAAATGACAGACGCACTCCACGTGAAGACCAGTTTAAGACAAGGCTGCTTATTCTCCTCCTTTCTCTTTCTTCTGGTGGTTGACTGGACTATGAAAACCTTTACATCGATGAGAAAACACAGAGTATAATAAAGAGCTCGGAGTCAACTAGACGGTTCGGACTTCTCAGATGACCTAGCCCTTCCATTTTATACACACCAACAAATGCAGATGAAAACATTCAGTATGGCCGCAGCCTATAAAACTGTAAACCTCGAGGTACACAAGGGAAAAAAGATCCTAAAATACAAAACGGTGAGTAGTGACCTTGCTACTACTTCAAAAAGAAGACATTGAGCTTTAGTAAGAACTATATTCGACAGCTGATTTTTCAAACATCGACTTGATTGAAGCGTATAACCAAACCCCATTGCTGCTGACGACATCCGTAATCCATTAACATTATCTCCTTCGGACCCTATGAGTTTTTGCTCATGCCCTTTGGTTTAAGAAATGTTACACATCTTGGAGGGATTCAGCGAGGACGCCCTTCGAGGTCTCAACTCCATAAACGCATATATAGATGAATGCTTGTCCAAACAGAGAAGCTCATCTCCAGTATCTGGACCTTGATGTCGAACGACTACAAAAACTCAACACTGCCGTAAATATTCAGACATATCAAACCGGAACCGACTCCACAGATTTTCTCGGACACACTATTGATGCTCACTGAATCCGGTCACGAAAAACCAACGCGGTGGTAAATCCGGATTATCCAGAACACACCAAAGTCAAGTAACTACGGACGTTCAACAGCCTGATAAGTTTCTGTCGATGATTTATACCGAATGGCGCGTCGCTTGTGAAACCATCACCAATTTGGACGACGACGCCAAAAATGAACCCTTAGCAGTTGGGGAACTTATCGCAAAAGCAACCGTGTTCGCAAGCCAGGACATCAAAGCACCCATCAGTATCGCGGTAAACACACCCTACTTGGCAATCTGGATGATCTTACAACAATGGGTGAACAGTTGTGGTGTTTGTATGAACTCATGATTTCTTTGTACTTGATGACTGTCTGATTTCGAATTCCAAATACAATACATTCTTCGGTACTCACCTAGTTCTTATTGGTCTAAACCACATTGCTTCTGGGATTCTTAGTATGTACAATAATTTAGAAACTTCTAGTTATCACAACAGCACTTGGCACCTTTTAGGACTCTTCTCGAGACGGTTGCGAGACACTGAATCGAGGTGAAGCACTTTCGCTAGGGAACTCTTAACCATATATTGTTCTATACGTCATTTTCAACGCTGTGTAGAAGGTCGCGAATTCACTCTGTTTACCGACCACAAACCTCTCACCTTTTTTACCTCTTATTCAGACAAGTACCCCCCCTCAAGAGTTTTGATAACTGGAAAGCATTCCGCAGTGCACTTCAGAAATACAACATATTTCTGAGCAGACAGTGTAGTCGCAGATGCTTTTTCTCGTATAACATTCCTGAACAATTTCCAAGGGTTCGACCTACCTAAACTCGTTAGGAGTTATCTTTGACAACTCTGAAATTACGGATCAAATAGATGCGAACAAGTAGGGGAAGTTCACTATGTGACACATCTACAGGCAGGGATCGTCTGGTCGTGCCGAAACATTAGCGACACAACGTTGCACAAGCTTTCCCGTCCAGTGCCGGCCATCGCAAGCTTACTCGAGTTGGACGAGAATGGTGTAACCTTACAGCTAATGTTGAAGCCACATCTCGTGGTTAATGCCTAACGTGAAATGCCCCTTCACGCCACCTTGAGACTGTGGATACTTTGTCGGCCGTTTACAACAAACAAGATGTTACAAAAGAAACTTGATAAACAGTCTACACTGAGAAACCGATTGTAACGTCTACCAAATGGGTCAGCTCATGGCATGATCGATGGGCGTTTGCTGCCCCTGATCTTGATGAGGCCCAGTAAACTGTCCAAAACTCAATCATCTGCCTCCTGAATGCTTTGGATAGCTCTCAGTGCTACTTCACTGGCACTACACTTGCAGTGACATTGGTTTCGAACCACGCAATCCTTGAAAGTAAACACAAAGTGACTGGGCAGACTTACGTTGGCAGCTGAACATTTGGAGAAGGTCAGAAAAGGTGAACGCGAGACAGTGTAGCTCAGCTAAGGGATGGCCACTGTTTGTAACTGTCAACTTCACAATCGTTTAGTGAATTATTATGACAGATTGATATAGACTGTCGTTTGACATTTGAGGGTTTAATTCCAACTTTACTGACTATATCGCATGCTTGCATGCATTTATCCGTTTGCAGTATTACTTGTCTATTTTCGTATACTTACTCTTGATGAATATACACTGTTAACTTTTAATCTTTTCCAATTGTGTTCGCACCACGTATATCCATCTTCTGCACTCTAATTTGTTACCCGTAAATCATACATTAATCACTCTCATACAGACTAACTCCCCTGTTATTGGTCGTTTTGACATTTAAAACCACTGCTGTCTACGCCTATTCAATCTTAATTTCTACTCGTTCTGTTCGTCTGCCCACACGAATGTCTGAAATGTAGATATCTTAAGTTAATTTCATCTTAGACTTTTTATATGTATGTTGTATTAGTGTGATTAGTCTTCAGTGTCTAGTACCATGTCAAGCCCATATGGGCTATTCTAACTTCCAGACAGACCGGTACAATAATTCTTTTCATGTCTCATTTCGACCGTGTTATTCATCCGGTTGTTGATCCTTATTCTTCTTACTTGAACGTATGTGTGTGCATTACTTTGTTTTCGTTTGCACACAAATATCGGATAACGATTTATCAAGAGGAGTTGGCACACTTGCGTCTTCCGGTCTACTTCCCTTCTTCGTCTGATTGATGGTTTGTTTGGATAACAGAGCGCTTGAAATAGATTCATCCAACTCAACCTGTAATAAGCTTATTATTACGGCCGCCATACAAACGCGGCTAGCCTCGTATATTTATATATTCACTCAAATCTGAGTCAGAATAAGGGGCCATATAAAATCGACAGAAGTTATGCTAACCATGTCTAGTGCAGCGAGTTAAACTGTGCGCTTCTAATTCCGACCTCAAAACTGTCATAATCTGGGACGTGTGTTATTTCTGTTTGTTGTTAATTGCTTTCCTACAAAAATGTAGGTGCGTCGTGTGCACTTGGTAGGTTTTCGACTCACTTTTAATTCCCTCATCCAATTCCCTTCACTCACGCGAATTCATATGTTCCCTTAGTAAACAAAGTATATTTTGGCTGGATGCGAACCGCCACATATACAAACTTATGACAAACATATTTGATTCCACCGCCCATTTTAACAATAACGTTGCTTTTTCATTTGCATAATAAAGACTTCGTAGGTTGAAGTACTTTTATATTAGCTTATTTTTTGTTCAACAAGGATAATTTGAATCTTCCAAACTACAAGAAGTATATTGTGTATAACTAATGTCAAAAAATCTGAAGGATATTTGTCGAAAAGTAGTGGCAGTTGGACGAAACTATGCGTACGATTGTGGTTACTAAGTGCCTATATTTAGAGACCATGCAAAAGAATTGGGAAATAAAGTTGGATCTTCGCCTACTATATTTTTAAAGCCTTCTAGTTGCATCATTGAAGAGGGAAAAATTAAAGTTTTTGTGGCAATCCTTACTTAATCATTTATCGCTAATATGTAGTTACCAAATGGGGCCAGTGAAGTCCATCATGAAGTCGAACTTGGTTTGGTAATTGGGAAATCACTGACAAATGTCAAAGCAGAAGAAGTAAAAGATCCACTCAATTTAATCCAACCTCTCTGTTTTGGGGGGAAATTTTGTCTGTTTTGGGGAGATTGTGGGGAAACCGCCAAATAGAACTTTGAAAACATGGTACAAAAACCTCAAAGTTTTTCCAGGTCTGGGGAAAATCCCAAAAGTTCCGGGGAAGCCTTGGTTTTTGCCCGAACATTGAAGATAATTACCATGTTTCTTACAACTTTTGGGAAAACGCTAAAATAGGGAGGTTGGGAAACGCTGTATTAATCCCTTAAGTTTCGCGTAGCGAATGTAGATATGTAAGAATAACTCATCTGTATACATTTGAGTAGCGTTAATGCTAAATATGCATTTTAATGGTTAAAGCAAGGGTGCAGTTAATAAACAGAATAAGCTTTTGATAAAAATGATTGGCATTAATATGCTGAAATAGATAAATTATCAGCCTATCACTAGAATTAGACCATCTCTTTAATATATTGGAACTGTAATGACACGTGCTGAAACGTACAATAGTTGTGTAGGGTTGAAATTGTCCAGAATTGTAAGGTTACAAATAAATCCAGAATTGTATCGGATGGATTCACTCTGAATTATATTGAACGAAAATGTAAACCACGGTGTTCTCACTAAGCAATGTATTTCAAGCGTCCACTGTTCAGAAAAGTCAGGATAGTTAGACACAAAAAGGTGTTTTAGTACGGTATACAGCTAAATGCTCCGAACTAGTCACATAACTGGACACAAGATAATTAATAGGATTGAATTCGTACATCTAACAGTCACATGGCTGTCTTGACCTTTTGTAACCCAAATGAATATACAGATGAATCACTTTCATATTTTTGCATTCAATGCTAAATTTCCTCGTATACATTTTAATGTTTGTTTTATTTAGGTTTATTCAGCAATATTAGGTTATGTGGTTGCGTTAGATCTAACTGATCGACCACTTCAGAATCAACTAAAAGCAAGCGGACTACCATGGACGTTGGCTAAATGCTTCGACACAGCTTGCCCCGTGGGGCCAATTCTTCCATTGGAATCACTACCGGCCGGTATTTTAACTTCTCGTCAGGAATTCCAAAAAGTAGATAATGAGATTTGGTTAAAAGTAAACCAGTTGGAACGACAACGATCAAAACTGAATATGATGGTCTGGACACCAGCAGATTTAGTATCGATAATTACCAAGAGAATCTCACTACAATATGGAGATCTAATTTTAACCGGTACACCTGCTGGTGTAGGGCCTCTGAAATCTGGTGATGAAATTGAAGCTGGATTGGATGATTTATGTTCTATAAAATTTAGCGTAGAATAACTATATCCTAACTGAAGTTGATTGTCTTCGTAAAATTATTTAGTGCTTCAGTGTATGTTTGCAAGACATTGTTCTTAAAGCTGTTTAATGTACGTTCACATTACGGTTGTTACTGTGTTAAGATTATACCTTAGTTACTGAAAAACGTCTTTTTAGTTATGGTGTTACCAGTGTCCTGACTAATCATACTCGTCTAATCACCTTCATCTTCAGTTTTACTACATTCTGACACACAGCCTTATCAAAAATAGATAGCTGGTGAGTAATTCTAATTTGAGCCTTTTTATGTTTTTGAAAGGTATCTCTTGACTTTCTCAGCACAACAACAGCAAATAGGTTAACTCAACAGACCTTTTCAAAGAGAAACCTAATTAGTAGGATGTTTGATTAGCTCTAATTAGTAGTTAGTTGTGTAGAATTAATGTTGGGATTATGGTCTAAATTTAAACACGTACATTATTTTCTAACCACATGGTTACTTCGAAACTATGATTAAAGGCTAGATCAAAGAACTGATAAGTTTCTGAATCCTCCTTATCAGCCGACCCAAATGAGTAGTTAACGCCCCACTAATCTCAAGTCATTTCTTGTTAGTAAAGATATTGGCGTAGGTGGGCAATGAAGACCTGTCATTCCGCAAATGTGTAGTTTGTTAAGAACTTTCATATGGGTGCTGAAAGTATTCCGGCTATGATATCGTTTGCGTATGGCTGTGCTGAACGTGTCAGAATCGAGTAGATGGTCAGTCCTTATGTGATTAAAGATGAACATTGACTTCCTCGGTTAGATTTATACTGCTCTTAAATGGAAATTAAACCATATTTAACGGATAGCCAGTATGATGTTATCTGAGATGGTCCCCACGATCGATTGGATCTGATTAAATATGACTAAGTAAACTGTAAATTTTGTTTGACATTTATTTACACTTCTGAAGAGCTTTACGATTTACAGGGCTGAGGAAAATTATTAAGCCAGTGTGTATAGGTAATATTGGATTATGGTAAGTAAAGTTTTAATCAACTCACAAATTTCAAATCTGCTAGGTTTTCTTAGAACGCAACTGAAGATCTTAGAAGTTGTAGTAGATAAATCTAAATAATCCTATTAGTTGACTGGAACGATGGTTGGCTGAATTATAGAAATCGCATCCAATGTAACATTTAGTGCCGGAGCTACTAATGATCTCAAAATGAATTGTTTCTATGCGAACAAAAGAAGATGGTTTGAGTCGAGATCTTTTTCTGAAGTAGCTAATACTTCGGCGTTAAACACCAATGTTCGTCGTCATGTGTAATTTTTATATACCACTTGTTATGCGGAATCCTCACTACATTTGCTTGTTTTTACGAGATTAACTAGTTTTATGTTCCGGGCAATTTAATATACTACCTTAGTTGTGTTGGTTTTTTTTCACAAACGATCGGAACCGACGATCATCCCTTCAAATGATGGACAACTGTCCGTTAATGTGAATTAAGAATGGACATACACATCCAGATCTTAAGTATTGTCCGGGGTGTTAACATGTTTCATTGTTCTGGTTCCTTTTAAGAATAACAACTGAGGTTATCAAAAAGCGTTCATAAATCATGACAGGAAACTCGATTCGGGATTCCTGCTTTTTCACCGAGTCATAAACGACTGGAACGTCTTGCGCAAGCAGGTAGTATTTACCCAGTTAGCAAACACCTAAAAGAAAGTAGGATCTACAATGAGGTGCTTTTTACAAGAGTTAACGCAAATCAACCTACCTGCTATGCCCCATTACAAAGAATGAGTTGGCGTGAGTGGAAATAGTAGTGGGAGCGGTTCAGTTAGTGTGAATGCAATTAGAATGAATACTCCCAGTCACATAAGTGCCTCTCATTTATATGGAGAAAGTTTCAGCAGGGCTGCCATCGGCTTTTATTCTGACTCACGTATGACGAAGTCTCAAGCCACCGAGTTGTATCATACTTAGGACTTCAGCCAAGCAATTTCTTAACTGAACAGCTCCCGGTTTCCTATTTTAACATCATTTTAGCACTACGGTCCCAGAGTAACGGGTTGAACTCGCTATACTCCACAATCACTTGCAATTTTGACAACCATGTGTTCTAAGATATAGAAAGTAACCCATGGTGTTTACTAAAGAATAATTGAAGACAGTTCAGCGTGGATAACCTGTTGTAAATCAGCTCAACAAATACAGAACACCCGACTAATCCAACTTATTCAATTCAATTACTGATGTTAATGTAACCACAATGGGAATCACGTCATTAGGTATAATTTCACTTCTCACCAATGTCCCTTCAACGTAAACCATGTTTTTTATGTAATGACATTGAGAACAACACCCTCGATACTGGTGTTCCAAAACACTATCTAAAGGAGTTACTCCTAAGATGTACATTCAGTGTCTAGTTTATATTTAATAATGAGTTCCACAGGCAGTATAATGTCTAGGGGTCCACCGCCCGGTCCTCTTCGAGCAAACTACTTCATGGCCAATCTTGTGCATGCAGTTTCTTAACCGACGATTGACGGCTGCCAGGGATGCTCCAAAGACATGATAGACGAGGACCTATCCAAGCTGCAATAGATATCCCCCAAACATGGATACCGACCCAGGCGTGATGGGTAAAAGGCGAAACCTAAATTGCAAGCTGTGCGGCACCATACAGTTCATAAGAGAATTCTTCAGGAACTTTGAGTTCAAGAGATACTATCGAAGGATTGTTTTACGGAATCTTAATTATCACCACTGCTGTAGTTTACTCCTTACCTTTCTCATATTTGTCACTGCAAATTTTCGAATATTAAGCAACTCTCTTTGACATGACTAGGTTTAATCGCCACCCCATTTTTCAAATGACCACTTTGATTGTTAACTGTAAATACAACTGGAAAGCCGGAGTAAATTACGTATAAAAGGGAATCTCCTTCACTGAATTGTCTTTGATCTTATGCGTCAACAAACTGTGGCTGGCCAGCATTCGACTAAATGAATTACCATGCTACAAACCAATACACTGAGTCATTACTGGTACTTTCTACCAGCTTACCTTCTACACTCCATGAAAATAACGCTTGGTTACAAGCTGCAAGCCCAAAGGAGTTCAAGAGAACACCGAGATACACAAAACGTCCAATAACCGGCACTTAGTCCTAGTAATTAAATATGCCTGCCACAGTATAGGTCTATACATCCGTCGCATTGATCACCACGAACAAAAACCAAGTTCCGACTGCAGCTCACATTACATCACTAGCCACGTTACGAAGTCCTCACAGTCGCTAATAGCCCCTGGTACGACTGAATCAGTTTTCCGGAAAAACAGCCTGGGTTCATCCACTAACTTTATAAGAAATCATACAGATCGCCTACGCCTCGAGGCACCAACCTACTACTAAAAAACGTAGATATAACCTTGGAGCGGACCGCTAAACTATGTAACGTACAGTAGTCTCAGCTGAGAACTTGAGACAATGACCCGGCCCCAACTAGCTTTATCATAATACCAAGCACAAAAACGTTTCGCGATGTTTTTGTGAAGTCGTTCCTAGTAAGTGGAACAATCTGACGCGATTAGTATTAGCATTTGGTGTTGAGTGGCTTTTTCTAATTACGAATGGACAACATAGGCGTCCTTCGAACTGACGTACTGTACGAGTCTTAAAGAATCACTGGATATTTGCCTAGCGAATTGGGCTACAAGCAGTATAAAAGGGTTAACCCAAGATGCGGGATCGCGTAAAGAAATGAATAACGGGAAACGAAGCCGACAACAAAGAGAATTCGACATAACGTATTTATTAGTTTACTTTTTTACAGCCTTCTTTACAGGCTTTGAAGTTTTCTCGACCGGCTTTTTCAACTTGAACTGTTTCAAAATGTTGTTGCGCTGCAAGAGAAATAAAATGTAGTTAGTTATACAAATACAACTTGTCAGTAAATTGATATCATCAAGAAGCACAGACGGCTCTTCCAAAATCTCATCATAATAGTTGTCGACTCACCTGTTTACGAGCTACCATGACTTTAAACCTGTCAAAATCGGTCATAGACGCTCGCAGGGATTTGCGATGAAGCTTTCGTGCCCACACAGTGTTCTCCCAATCCTTAGTTATGTCGTACCTCTTCCAATGTCTCTCGACTGAATTTGTACCACATCCATGTGGAAGTTTGTACTTTAATTTTGTTAAATGCAGTCTGTTTATACTTATTTCTTGTCTAGGAACGCCGGAGCATGGCCCATCGATAAGAACACGTCTTTGGTCAATTATTTCTACGATGATTGCCACCTTTTTAGCATAAGGTCCAGAGGCAATGAATACAACACGTCCAGCCTCTACAAACCTTGTGAAGTTCACCATGGGTGGAAGCAGTAACCTGGAAAAAAAGTATGCTTGATTACCTAGAGATTGGACACACAATTGTCTTTATTTTAAAAAACTCAATATGAATTCCAAATTAGACTAGCGACATTTTTGATAAGCCGTCTGTAAATAACCGTTTGGTTGCAGATTGGGCTTTAAGGATACAGATACTGCATTAAGTTTTATTCGAGCAAATAAAACTAAGCGTGTTTAAGCGTTCTGAGCTAGGCAGTACCAAAAATGGAATTGTTCCCACGACGGAAAGATTTTACATCCCAATGACGAGGATAAAGATTTTATCTCTTACATAGACTGACACCAAGTCACTATCCAAACTAGTTATTCAGACAGTTAGCCTCAGTTATGCACCCACAGAATGTGTGCACACTTAGATGAAACGTGATCCAAGCAAGTCTTCGAAGATGAGCGCAAATTTTTTATTGTCTTAGATCGTTCTTGCTGACTATTATTGTAAGTCACCGACTCAGTACTAGTTATGAGACTGGCACTATGGTGGTACGAATCAGTTAGCCCAAATTAAACCAATGTATGACGCTCAAAGTGATGCCTACATACGAATTTTGAGTAATCCAAAACTGTTCACAAAAGTTCTGAGAGAGATTACTTGACCACGA